GGGCCAAGCAAGCAGGACCAGCGGTAGCCAGACTCCAACCCATGTTGCCAGACCAACAACTTCCTCTGTACGACATCAGTGTACCCAGTGCACCCTGTGTGTTGAGCTCATTTGTGTCATTGTGTTTGTGTCTGAGAAAGTGTATGTGTGTGTCAACCTCTGTGTAACACAGCAGGTGAATGTCATGTAACCAGTGCTCTGGCAGCGTGTGCCCTGTGCGTGCCCCAAGTCTGCACACCCATGGGAGAACGTAAGGTTGGCCCTAGGTCCTATCTCTTTCTCCTTTAAATAGCATATGTTAAGGTCAGTGAACAGACTGGCCTCAGAAACATCTCTACTCCTGAGACAGATGGCATGGCCAGCAGCCAGCTCATGGCTGGCCAAAGGTAAGGCATGTCCTAGCAGGGGCAGCCCCTCCTGTGTCTGACCTGCAGCTGGAAACAGACACATTCCTCCCGGAAGCTCTGGCCACTCTTCCAGGGAGTCTGAGGGAGTCCCAGCTGATTCACCACTGACCTTTGACCTCACGGGTTAACCCTTCCTAAACCAGACCCTTGCCACAGCCATGCTGTCTTAGATGTGACAGCTATGTCCACCTGGAGCTCACGCTGTGGGCCTGTGTGCCCACGGATGTGTTTGCACAGGTCTTGGTGTCTTTCCTCTTGGCTGTGGTGTAAGTGAGCACATGTACTGTCTGTGCCTGTTTGTGGTCAGGATGTCAGCACCTGTGCACGCCCCCGTCCTGTGCGTGCAGCTCTCCCAGCTGCCGTGCGTGTGCTTTTGAGAATGCACCCTGTTGTATGTATCTGTTGCTGGCTTTGGGTGCTTGCCTGAGGACATGAATGTGCCTCCTCGCAGATGTGTCAGTGTGCTCACACCTGTGTGGTCTGTCCCTGCGTGCCTTCCTGTGCCTGGCATGTCTGGGCCTGCTCTCCCACCCTGACAGTCACCCTGGATGAGCTCAGGAAGACCAAGGCTGAGGGAGCAGGCCCAAGGATGCACCTGTGATCTCAGAGACATATTGCTTTCCTCTGCATCTCCCAGCCTCACCTCTGGATCCCTCTCCCTGGGGTTCCACATCTGGTGCTCAATAAATGATTGATTGGTGAAGGAAGGGATGAAAAGGGGCTCTAAGGGGCACAGTCTGGAGATGAGGGTAGGCAGGCACTCCAGGATGGGAGGGAGGCTTCTGGCAGGAGCGCCAGTTGTGGACTGGGTCGGATAGCTCCAGAAGAGGCGGTCAAGGCTGGTCGAGCCCGGGTTGGGGGCAGCAGGGTCTGCGGGCCGCCCCCGCGCGCTCCCCGGGGACGTCTCGGGTCACCGTCTGCACCGCCTGGGCCGCGCCGCCCCGCGGGTTATTTATGACCCCCTCCCCCTCCCCCTCCCTGGCGGCGGCGGCGGCGGCAGCGGCCACGGCGGGGGCTCCGGCCTCGGCTCAGCGGCAGAGGGCCCCCAGCGGGGGGACCGCGAGCAGCGATGGCGCCGCCGTGGCCCTGAGGGATAAAGGGGCGGGGCCTCTGAGGGCCGGAGGAGGGGCTTTGGCCGCCGCTCCCACCTACTTTCCCCAAGGAAGGTGCCGCCAGGCCTGAACTCCAGGCGAGGGGAGATTCTAGAGCCAAAATTCTGTCCTTCTGACCTCTGTCTCCAGTCAGAAGCTCAGAGGAGCGCACGGGCTACCAGGTGCCAAACCAGGACACAGGTGGACAGGAGAGAGAAAGTGAGCAGATCCTTGTGGCAGGGGTATAATGCCCAGGAGTAAGGATGCCTGATCCCTGTGGGAAAGTGACTCTGATCCTGTGGGCAGAGAGGTCTATTTCCCATGAAGAGGGGGAAACAAACAGGTAGGGGTGGGGGTAGGGGTGAACTGACCAGCCAAAGCCCTGGAAGGGGGTCTCCTGAAAGTCAGGGAGTGGCCCTTGGAGGAGAAGGGGTCCTGCAGGGAGTTTTGAACCCAGTCATGGTCATTTTAGGAAGCCCCCTTGATCCTCCAGAGAGAGGTGGAACCAGATAGTAACATGGAGGTTGGGCTGGGTGAGCTAGGTTAGTTTAGCCCCCTTACCTTGCCAGCTGGGTCCCACTTCTGAAAGCCAGAGTTGGGGCCTTCTTTGCCCCTCCTTCACCACTGTGGGCCTGTTCAGGATGAAAGAAGTCAGGGGTGGGTCAGGGGTGGTCCTGCAGAAGGGAAGGGAGGCCCCCTCCACAGGCTACATGGTACCTTCTCAGATCTAGAGATAAACTTCACTAGCCTTCCCTCCCGAAACCTCACTTTAAAGGTCAGGGGTTAGGAAGCCTAAGGGTCAGGGAACAGGTGCAGGCAAACATGAGAAGAACTGAGTGGAGGGGACCATCTTTTGAAAGCAGTGTCAGGGCTGTAGCCAGACAGTTGGCCTCACACTGAGCCCTGATAACCTCTCCACACTGTGCCATGACCACAGATTAGCGTAATGGCTCCTCCATGGGCCTTGGCTCTTGGGCAGAACAGCCTCCTGCATCCATTAGACATGGAGGCAGCACACCTGAGAGCAAGACACGGACCACAAAAGGTGAGTGTGCACCTAGGGTCAGGCATGTGCAGGTGTCCAGTCTGCACGTAGGGCAACTGGGCTGAGGGTGGTACACTATATAGGATCACTCACTTTCACACCCACATTCACACCTGGCCCCTTAAATCCCAGCAGGCAGACATACAAAGAGTAGAGCAGAAGGGAGATACAGAGGTTTGGGTGCATAGGTTCCCAGACACGTTCCTGGTCTCAGCCCAGACCTTGCTCCCCAAGTCAGTCCTGGGGCTGGCCGGTGCCTTAGCTGTGGATGATCTTGGCAGTGTGCATCAGCAAGGGAAAGCAGAGCAGTAGCCAATGGTCAGGCTCATGCCCAGCTGGTGCAGGTGCCTGGGAGGAGGTGGGTGAGGGTGGTGTGCTCCCTCACTTCCCTCACTCCCTTGCACAGGGTGCTCATGCAAGCACACCTGTGGTCCAGCTCAGCCACCCAGAGCCTGGTCAGAGAGATGCCCACACGAATGCCCTGCCAAATGCATCTCAGTGGGGGTCTAGGCGCTGGGATGGGATCTGAGGCTACTTTTTAGCTTGTTCAGAATAACACATCGGAGAAAGACAAACCTGTCTCGTCAGCTATTAGTAGGTTTCTGTTTCTCTTCCTAATGCTTCTACTGCAAGGCTGGCATGCTGGCCTGCAGGGAGATGGGGGTTGAACACCAAGGGACAAGCCACCCTCATGCCAGGACTGGGCCAAGGCTGACCTGCTTCCTCAAGGCACCAAAGTGGACATGGGTGTAGAGGGGTTCCTCTTCCCCGGACCGGCTCATACTAGGGAACAGAAATGTGCTCAAGTGTGCAATCTCGCACTCATCGGCCCCTCTTCCTCCCCACATCCTCCATCCCTCAACCAGACTGCGTCTAGCCCACCTTCCTGCCCCACAGCATGGCTCAGATATTGTTTGTCCTGGAGTCAGAGAGCTGGATTTAAAACAGCTGTATGACATCAGGAGAGTTACTTGACCTCTCTGGGTCTCACCCTCCTCATCTATAAGATGAGAATAATAAGAAATAAGAAAAACTCATATTGAGATGATCAAGTGAACTAAGGCATGTAAAGTGCAGAGTAATAAGGCGGCAATAACTGACAGAATCGTTGTCGTTGTTGTTCACAGAACATGAAACCTCCCCAACACATTTGCAGAGGCCACACACCACAAACCCACAGCCTCACACCCTGCAGATGCAGAGGAGACCACCCACGCCCGACACTGATGCCCACAACCCACCGCCGCTGTGAAAACACTCCTACCCAGGACCGCCAGGCCAGCTGGCCGCTCCTAATCACAGATCCCTCCTGCGCCAGGAGCCCACTCTCGGTCCTGGGCCCGCCCCCTCCCCACGTGTAGTCGGGGACTCCCAGCTGCGCCCAACGACTCCCTCAACAATGGAGCGGTCCGTGCGCGCAGCTTCTCGCTAGCATACGCTCCTTCCCACACCCTCGCGCGCTCGGAAATAGGGCAGGGGTGCCTCCCTGTCCCACCGCCCCCGCCGCCAGCCGTGTGAGCCCAGTCGGCCGTCACGCACCCCCTGCTGGAGCCCGCGCCCGCCCGCCCGCCGAGCCGGGGCCGTTTAAATGGGCCAAGTTGTGGCGGTGGCGGCGGCGGAGGCGGCGGCGGCGGGAGTCTCCCAAGTCCCTGCCGGGCGGGCGCGCGCCAGTGTACGCGGGTGCGCGGCCGGGGCGGCGAGGCGGGGCTGGGGCCTGGGACCCCCGGGCGGGGCGGGGCGCAGGGCCGGAGACTTCTGGACTCCACTGCCCGGCTGGGCCCTGCTGGCGGATCAGCGAGCGGGGCCGCCCCAGGGGGCGCGGGCGCAGGTGGCCCAGGGCCCTGTGGAGCCCTGGGGCCCCGGGGCTGCGGCGCTCGGCAGGTCGATAAGGGATCGATAGCAGCTCCCGCAGCACCATGTCTCGGGCAGCCAAGGCCCCGGCAGCCGGCCGAGAAGGGGTCCGTGGAGGCCCGGCGGGCGGCGCGGCTGCAGGTGCCGGGGCGCAGTAGCGGGTAGGGCGGGCGCGCGGCCGGGAGACTCCTGGGCCCCCAGCCCTCGAGACCCAACTCCAGCCCAGGCCCGAACAAGTTGCGCCGGCGGCGGAGAGCCAGGCTACAAGGCCACCGGCCCGTCATGCCAGCGGTCAAGAAGGAGCTCCCAGGCCGCGAAGACCTGGCCCTGGCTCTGGCCACCTTCCATCCGACCCTGGCCGCACTACCACTGCCGCCGCTCCCGGGCTACCTGACACCACTGCCAGCTGCGGCCGCCCTGCCCCCGGCCGCCTCGCTACCCGCGGCGACTGCGGGCTACGAGGCGCTGTTGGCTCCACCACTCCGCTCCCCGCGCGCCTACCTGAGCCTGCACGAGGCCGCCCCGCACCTCCACCTGCCCCAGGACCCTCTGGCCCTCGAGCGCTTCTCAGCCACTGCGGCCGCAGCACCGGATTTCCAGCCGCTGCTGGACAACGGCGAGCCGTGCATCGAGGTGGAGTGCGGCGCCAACCGCGCGCTGCTCTACGTGCGCAAACTCTGCCAAGGCAGCAAGGGTCCGTCCATCCGCCACCGCGGGGAGTGGCTCACACCCAACGAGTTCCAGTTCGTCAGCGGCCGAGAGACGGCCAAGGACTGGAAGCGCAGCATCCGCCACAAAGGTGCGGCCGCGGTGGGGGCGCAGGCCGCTACGGTCCCTCCCCTCTGCTCCCCGAGGACCCCTGGGTCCGGACCCCCTCGTTCTGCCACCTGGGAGACTCCATCTCCGCCCAGAGAGGGCGCTGCGACTCTGGGGCTGCCGCAGGGACACTCCCCCCGGGTTCCCCCCCCCCCCCCCCGCACCGCCCCCAGCACGGTCGCCTTGGTGGACCCGAGCAGAGCGCCCTCGGCCTCCACCGTCACCCCAGCTTGAGCCGCGGTGCTCTGGGCTCCCGGCTGCACACGAGCTGGCCCCTCCTGCCACTCGGAAGGTCTTTGCGGGATTCCTGGGCTATATGGCCCAGGGGAAGTTTAGGGGAACTCGGGAGACTGCGGAAGGCCGGCTGGGCGGGACACAACTTCCCTCCCGGGTCGGGGAGGCACCAGGTTCTAGCGGGAGTAGAGGGGCACACGGGCGGCCGGGGTGCGAGTGCGAGTTGCTGGAAGGAAAGAAGGTGTGGGGGTGTCGTGGGCAGGTGGGGGCCGCGGGGGCGCGCGTCGGGGCGGGGGCGCGCGCGGAGCTGGAACGGCGGCGGGGCTGGGGGCAGCCTGCTTGGAGCATTCAGGAGTCTGGCTCCGAGGGCGCGCTGTGAGGGCGCCCGAACAGGCAAGCGGGGGAAGCGCAGTGAGCGACAGGGGCGGGGGGGGGGGAGGAATCCTTAGAAAGTTAGGGACCCAGTCGCGCTGGGCTTTGGGGCTCGCGGCTCCGCTGTGGTCGGCCTCTTCCCGCTGCGGGCTCAGGCACAGCCCCGGTCCCGGCGGCGCCGCTCACCAGCGCGCAGGCTCGACCTTCGTGAACCCTGTTCCCAGTTCCCCCAGACCGGCTTGGAGGGAGGGTAGAGAGCGGGAGGAGGGACGCAGGGGGCGGGGAGGAGGTAGCCCTTGGTCAGGGGAGGGCGCTTGCCGGGATCTTGAGTTTCTGAGCTCGGCAGATCCCCGCGGCGTCCGCGAGGGTGTGGTGGACGGCAGGGCCAGGTAGTGGGTTCGGAAGTTGGATGTTCATACACGTGCCAGGAGGGGGAACCGGCCTTGCAGCTTCCTGCGCCCCGAAAGCGCGCCCGCGTGCGCCGGCTCTACCTGTGCCCCGTCCCTGCTGTCTCACCGGTCCTGCCTCGGCTCTCCTCACAGGAAAAAGTCTGAAGACGCTTATGTCCAAGGGGATTCTGCAGGTGCACCCTCCGATCTGCGACTGTCCCGGCTGTCGAATATCCTCCCCGGTGGTGAGATGTGGGAGAAAAGTTGGGGCTTTGGGTCTTCCTTGTCCCCTGTGGAGCTGTGCCTGTTTTCTGGGATCCAGAGTCCTAACCTCAACCCTGCCGGGGTGCAGGAGTGAGCCCCCCGGGGCAAATAGGGGAGACTTTGCTTTGGGTGGGAATCCTGGGGCAGCCCTCTCCTCTTTGGATGCAGAACCTGACCATTGTCTATCTGGGAGCCTCTCCTTGGGAGCCGTGGAGCTGCTTCTCCCTCAGGTCTTGGGGACAGCCTGGGCTGTAAAGGTCTCCTCCCTGGACAGTGCCATCCACCTGTGGCCTGGGGACCCTGCCCTGTCACAGGTCTTGGGTGGGGGTGGGGGTGTCACTGTGTCAGCTGGCCTGGCTTGGGAGAGGGGCTGGTCCTAAGGTAACACTTGTTCTGGGATGTGACACTGTTGGCTGGCCTGGATGTACATTCTGGGGTGGTCACAGCTTGGATGTGAGTAACATGTGTCTCTGGTATGCCAAGAGCTAGAACCCTGCTGGGCAAGGCCCTCAATGTCCAGGAGAGTCTCAGGATACAACCCAGTTGGGGGCAGAATCTGAGCAGTGTGGGCTTTGGTGTCAAGAACTGGAGTTGGAGGCTGATGTAGGGCCCCCAACCCAGTGTAGATGTATATTGACCCCCTCTTTGGCCTAGGGGAGCAGCAGAGATTGGGGTGCTGGGCCTGCCCCTGAAGCACTGTCTTCCACATGACATGTCCTCCAGGCAGCAATAGTTGGGGAACCAATTTTGAGCTGCTAGGGGAGAGCCAATTAGGGCCCTGGCTCCTGGTGGTGGTTGGGATTGTGCTGCTATCCCTGGCCTCGTCAACACCCTCACGCAGGAAGGGGTGAGAGAGGACCCAAGACACCGCCTTCAGCTTCTTGACTTTGGACTGGAAGTAGGAAGGAGGAAGGGATGTTTTGGTTTCCTCGTGGACCCTGGAGGCGGGTTACCTGGGCAGGCTGGGAAGCCACAGACACACCTGTGAATACAGACACCAGATCAGACACACAAGTTGGACAGGGGAACAGGGATACAGCCATGCCTCTCCTGTGTACCTACCCCACACACTTGTCTGCCATGGGCTCGTCATCAGAGTGTGTGTGCACAGGCAGCCCACCTCTGACCCGCTACTACGGTACCTGCCTGGGGCAAGAAGCTGAGCTCCTGCTCCACTTAACGTACCTTTTCAAGCTGCTAGTACAGGAGAAGAGTCTTCTGGGCACCCTCAAGGCTAGCCTGGGGTTTCTGTTCGGGTTGGAGGGGCCCAGCCTATCTTAACCCACCCTTCCAGAGGTCTCTCACAGGAGTGTGGGGTACAGGTGGCGTGAGCCCAGTATCAGTTCCCCCAGGACATTGCTTGGATTGGGGAGGGGTGGGGAGGTCTGGCAGGGATGAGGCCACAGCCTTGGACTGCCTACCTGTCTGGGGCTCCCGGGTCCCTGCCCTGCATGAGGGATGCCTCAGACCTGGGCCTGCCTCTCCTGAACCTGGTCCCTCCCAGGCCCATGCCTGTACCCTTCCCTTAGGAAGGAGCTACACAGACCCCCTTGTCTTTCCATCCCCCACTTTTGCGACATAGAGATTGTCTTCCTCCATCCCCCACAGCCAGGCCCGAAGGTACGTACACACCTCACAGTCACAGATACCCCAGGGACACAATGTGGGTATGCAAGTTTGGTGCAGGGATCATGCAGCCATGCAAGATGGCTTTCCTGTACCCATCCTTGCGTTCTGAGGAGCCAATGGTTGACTAGCTGCAGAGGTTTGTCACAGAGCTTTCAAATCTGTGTGCTGCTGAGCAGGGGTGAGTGGTTGAGGTCTTGCGTGTGCGTAGGAGGAAAGTATGCTCCCTGTCCTTGGTTGGGGTCAGGGCTGCCCATCCTGGTCCCTCTTCCTCACCTCCCCTCCCGCAGGAGCCCCTCCAAGAGCCACCGCAGGCCAGCAAGCTGGTCTGGCCTCATCCCAAGTGGCAGTCTTACTGCTCTCATTTTCCTCTCCTCGTCCTACAGATGAGAAGCAGAGGGAAATGCATTTCCTTTTCTTCTTAAGAGAATAGTTTAATTAAAACAGAAAGACAGGAGAGGAAGTCCTGATGCTTGGGCCACAGGCTAGAGAAGGGCAGACCTGAGTGGGACTTCCCAGCAGTGCACACTTCAGACAGGCCAGGGGTTGTTGAAAACACTCCCCTTGGAGCCCGCTAGCTGGCACAGAGGGGCACGGAGACCAGACAGGCCATCACACCTGCAGCCTCACCCACTCTCTGCTATTGCTGTTAGAGCACAGGGCCAAGGCCAGGGTCGCAGAAGGGGCCACAAAGCTGGCCATTTCATCTCTCAGGCCTACCCTCAGACTCCATTGCCCCACCCCACCCCACTCGGCCCCAGTGCTGTCCGGGGTATCTCACTGAGTATGTTGCAGAGAGGAATATGGAGAGTGTCCCAAGTGGATTCATAAGGACAAGTATGGGGGAGACTGTGGCTCGCAGGGGGGGGACCTGGAGAGGGGGGTACTTGTGGTCCCCAGACCCAGTGAGGGGAGAAGACTAGGGCTCCCTGGCCCTTTTGGGGCCACTGCCCAAATCTGGAGCTGGGGTGGGCTGGGTCTGAAGGGAAGGACCCTTATTCTGGAGGGCAGGACGATGGTGGCTGCATAGCAGTCCTTTAGGTCCAGGATGACACGGGTCCAGGGTGAGGCGAGACCCTCCTCCACACTTTCCTCAAGCTTGTGGGTATGATGGCATTGTCCTTGCAACAGGAAAGAGGGTGTCCGAGGGTCCCCAGGTGACTGGAGAGATGAGAAAGAATTAGATAATCCCAAGGTCCCTGCCACCTCCCTGAAACAGCAACCCCTTATTAAATAAGAAAAAGGTTCCTGCCCACCCGAAAATAATCAGTAACTTTTTTTCTTTCACTGGGGCAGCAGGACCTAAGGACACTGTAGGGAGCCATGGTGTATAGTGACCTTGTGTGGTGTGTGCATGTGCTCTGAGCACGAACAAGCTCAGTGTGGAGTACCCTCCATGTCTGTGCACAGGACATGCCTTCCTGCTCTGATCTCCCAGCACACAGCACACACATGAGCTCCACATACTCACAACATGGGTGTAGGGAGGGGAGAAGGAGGTGTTGTGGAAGAAACAGAATCTCTGTTTCTGACCCGGAGGGTAGGCTCACTCGGGGCCCATGGGACAAAGGGTCTAGGTTGGTAAGGGCTCCCCATCAAGTGATCTGTGAACCCCAGGCCTGCAGTTTGCAAGGGGTCAGCAGGATCAGGCCCCAGACTCAGGCTCCAAACCACCCTGAACTGGACCCTGCATGGCACTAGCAGAAGGGAAGACAGGACTTGGCATTGGTTGGGGGTTCACGCAGGAGCTATGTGGGATTGTCCCTCAGACACAAGCACACAGAGGTAACTGAACGTTGAACACGGGGCAGAAGACATGCTGTGTTGTGCACACATGGCCCCTCGGAGCTCCCTGGGGCCGGGAAAGCTGGGGTCTGCCTCTAGGTGGGCATCCCCACACTCAGGCTGGAGTGCGGGGTCTGGACAAGGCAGTGTCACCAGGAGCCTGGCCAGGGCCTACAGCCCTTCACTCCACCCCCCTCCAGGGTGGCAGACCCAGGCTTCATATTTCTGCTCTTGTCTTCACCTCCAGCCACTGGGACCCATGTGGACCCTCGGGCCTGTCCTGCGGGCTAGAAGCCCTGTAGCGGGGCCAGTGATGGTGCCTATTTGATCTTAGCAGCTGCTCTGAGGGCTTCCGTCACCTGCACGCTCCCAGAGGGTTGGGCCTGGAGTGCACACCTCCCAGGAGCCTGAGGGTCCTGGCTCAGCCTAACCTTCCTCTCTTCCCTCCCTGCCCAGAACCGGGGGCGGCTGGCTGACAAGAGGACAGTTGCCCTCCCCACTGCACGGGTCCTAAAGAAGGAGCTGACCCCCAGCTTCTCGCCCAGTGATGGTGACAGCGATGGGAGTGGCCCAGCCTGTGGGCGGCGACCAGGCTTGAAACAGGAGGACACCCCACGTGTCCGTATCATGAAGAGAAGGTACTTTTCCTGGGGACCACGGTCAGGGGAGGTACACAGGCTCTGGTCGGGACATCAAGACTGGTGTCTCCAGGTAGCTGAAGGCCAGGCCAGGGTGAGGGCCGTTTGCCCTGGGAACAGGGCCCAGGTTTAGCTTGTCATGTCTTGGTATCTGCCGAAGCTGAAACAGCCTGAACCGCTGACGCCACAAGACCATAATGAGAACCTACCCTGCCTCCACTTGGAGTTTCCATGTGGGGAAGGAAGGGGGCTCTAGGAAGGGCCAGGGGCTCTGGGAGGAGGGCAGTCAGGGAGACCCAGGAAGGGAGGGCCTGATACCACAACAGCCAGGCAGAGAAAAAGGAGCTGAGCAGCCCCCTCCCTGGGAGCAGCCCCTGAAACTCTCATGCTCATTCTCCTGGGCAGGCGGCAGCTTTCCTGGCTACCCACTGTCCCTTCCAGGCCTGGGGCCACTCTTCCTGGCTTCCCACCATCTCATCTCCTGGCAGAGACACCTCCCACTGTCCACTCACCTCCTCATGCCTCCATCTGTCTGTCGTCTGTCCATTCATGTGTCTGTCCATCCAGCACATGTTACTCACCCCAGAGTTTCTAGGCCTTTTCTCTTCCCACCTAGTCTTTCAACGTGTTCCAACTTCTCCTACCCTAAAATAACCCTCCCAAACCCCAACACCCCCCTTCCCAGCCCTCATACCCACGCTTGCTAAGGTGACACACCCACACAGTCTTCCAACCACCATCCCTCAGCCTGAGGGTCTTTCTGGGAACACTGCTGTGGGTGAGGGGACAGGCGCAGGGCAGAGCTCTTTCCTCACCTGACCTCTCGTTTTTGGCAACCCTCCTACCTACAATGTGCGGTGGTCGCTTTCAGGAGGCAGACTGGTAGCGGCTGGGACCCAGGAAGCTGCACCCACCTGGGCTGACACTGGACCATTGGTGCCGGTAGTGGCCATGGGGCTTGCTCCCTGAACTGTTCCAGCCTGGCTGGAGCAGCTCTAGCAACTAGGAGTTTGGTTCAGTTGCACGGCTGTTGGGCAGAAGAGGCTGTAGCTCCTCCACCCCAGCACAATGTGGCAGCTCTTCTGGGTTCACTGCAACAAGAAGGAGAGGTGTGGCAGCCTCAATTCTGTCCTTCCCGATTCCTTTGTCTGGTGAGACCAGGAGTTGGCTCCTGCTCCACGGTTCTATCCTGGTGGCAGCCACTGGCTGGTTGAGCTGGTACCAGATAGCACTGGAGACAAATCCGAGCCAACCCAGTTCCCTTGGGGCCAGCGCTCTGGGGCAGATGAGGGCTATGCCATACACACACCCTGCTGCTCAGGTACCAGATCTTGGAGGCCACTTTGACCCTCCGTTTCTTTCCTTGCAGAGTCCACACCCACTGGGACGTGAACATCTCCTTCCGAGAGACGTCCTGCAGGTAGGGTCCGGGCTTATCCCCACACACCGTGCATGGGCAGGATGGAGCCCTGTTGCTCCATTTCCCCCGGGGTCTGCTTCTAAATCTTTCCAGCCTCCCTCCCTTCTTCCCCTCCCTATTCTGTGGTCTGTCTGTCGGTCAGTTTGTGCCCAGGTCCTGACAGCAGCACAGGTGTGGGTTCTGGGCAGCCTAACCCTCCCACATGGGACTGGCCATTTGAGTCGATCTGCCCAAAGATGAGGCCACGACCTCTCCCTCCCACCCTCCCAAAGACCCACCTGCAGATGAGAACGGTGATGTGTGCGTGGGGTCTCAGGGTGCAGAGGCGTCCACTAGGGAAAGAGGATGTCTGCAGAGATGTGGAAGAACAAGCGAAGGGGAAGTGGGGGTGTGGGGGGCTGGCAGGCCCGGTCCAACTGAATGCTAAAGGACTCTGGATGCTGAGCCTGTAGGACACGGTGCTCCAGGCAGTGAGGAGCCACCTGAAGTTCCTGAGCAGAGGGGTGATGGAGTGTGTGTTTTGATGAGGTCCTTCTGGAGGCCAGAAGGTTTGGAGGTTTGAGGTTGGAGGTTTGCTCCAGTCTGCAGTGGTTCAGGCTGTGGAAGCATGATGGAAGGCAGGGGGATGGCGAACCCAAGACATAGCGAGGAGATAAAAATGAGGGGACCTGATGAGGAAGTTGGGAGGGCCCTGGGGAGACCCAAGTTCTAGATTCCAGATGAGCAAAGGATGGTCAGTCTGTGGATGGAGCCCAGGCTGTGGCTTCTGGTCAGTGGGGTCAAGTCTTACCACAGGGCCTTCCAGCACAGGCCCAGCTTCCTCAGCCAAAGCTGAGGGGCCATCCCCCCGAGGTGGGAGCTTGTCTTCCCCACTCCCAGCCCGGCTCTGTGCCATATGTATTATTATTTACATCTCTGAAAATATCTGGGTCCTAGAGCCGAATTACAGTGAAAACATCTTTAAACTTATTTCTACCTCATTTTGAAGTTGCCTGCTCAACTGATCATTTTTATGAACCGTTATGAACATTGATGACATTTTATGAGCCTTTTGCTTGGGAAGCTACAGGATGAATTTGTCAGTGAAGCTTATAGCGAACCCAAGGGAGGTTCCTCCACTCCTGGAATGACTCCGCCTGCCCCCGGTAGCCCTTTCCTCACCCACCCCTGGCCTTGTAAAGTGAGAGAAGGTCCCAGGTGTCCAGACGGAGGGAGACCCTGGTAAGGGGCCAAGTCCAAGTGCATGTGGGCTCCTTCGGTCCTGCACCGGCCCTAGGGGTGTCTGGGATGATTTTCTGGATTTTACCAGAGAGGAGACTGCAGTTTGGGGGCAGGGGTGTAGCATAGCCAAGAGGACTTACAGCCTATCTGCCCCCCACCTGCTGATGCGGCACCTCGGCATCAGGCCCAGGAGGGCTGCAGTAGGCAGACAGCCTGGCTTGTCTCTTCCTGGCTCCTTTGGGCCCTGTCCCTCTGTCCTGCATCTCTAGTCTCCTGTCTGTTCTTTAGCCATTTATCTCTCTGTTATTCCCATCCTTTCTGTCGCTGTGTCCATCCATTCAGTAGTGCCTGTCTGTTCATCTGTCATCATCTCTCACTTTCTGTTTGTCCCTCTCCCTCCATCCATTGGCCTTCACCTGTCTGTCCCTCCATCTGTCCATGAGTTCCATCCATTGGCCCACTTGCCTGCTTGGAGCTCCTGCTTCAGCACCCATGCAGCCCAGGCAGCTGGCCAGAGATGTGGTCCCTGCCCTCCTGGGGCCCCTGAGCTGGCCAGGATATGGGCAAACACTGGACAGTATGACAGTCGGCTGAGGGAGCTCGGAGGAGCCCAGGGTGCCCCTCAGGGGGAGTTGGGGTCGCAGGGGCCAGACCCTTCTCCCTCAACCTCCTAGCACACACCCTCCTCCCTGCAGCCCCTTCTGTCACTCAAGCTCTCCTCCTCACCTCCTGATACACAGCCCCACCCCATGGTGCTACAGAGAGCCTCCCAAGAACGCTCCTGGGCTTGGTCCCTCATGCACAGCATGGTGCAGACCCTGTTTTCAGGGCTGTGGGAACCTCATACTTGGGATGCCAAATGCAGAGTTTATGTGTTTTCAGCCTGGTGTTTCTTTGTAGTTCTTTACATAAAACCTGGCATAATTTGTTCAGTGAGTGACCAGAACATGTTTTCCAGAGCCAGGCCAGGCTGTCTTGGGGCCTGTGGGGTGAACCCCCCAGGCAGAGAGCAGAGCAAGGGTGTGGTGGGCGGTGGTGACCTGATTCCCACCAGGCCTCAGCTCCATGGTGCCACAGCACAACCTGAGTGCCTGAATGACTGACCGCTGAGTGAAAGAGCTGATGGCCATGGTGGTGGTGGTGAGCTGGGGGGTATAGTCCCAGGTCCCTGTGTGGGTGCTGGTCTAAGGGTTCATGGGGAACAAACTGATGAGGCCTTTCCTCACCTACTCAGTTTCCAAGGTGATCCACTTCCTGTAGGAGTCCTGGGGACACCAGAATTGGATCCCCTCAGGGGAGAACTCGGAGGCAGCCTCTAGCCACCCCCCCACCCCCTCCCTAGTGCTGAGGACGGCACTTCTCTCCTCAACACCCTCGCATTGATGAGGATGATAGAGGGATGAGAATTGCTGCCAATTAATCCCATAAAGTACTTACTCCCACCCCACCTCCCCTCCTCTTTGCATGGGGGGGCACCTTCTCTCGTCCCGGGAGAGGGGGTGGGGGTGGGGAGAGAACCCGCATCTGGGTCTCCCAGAAGGCTCTAGAGCCCAGCCCTGGAGTCTTTGGGGCTGAAACTGATCTGCTTAGGGGCCAGCCTGGATTAGCCTGCTCCAGCCGCCCAGGCCAGGGGGGCTGGGGGCTATTTAATGAGGTTTAGGGTCGGTTCCCAGGTCACTCCGTGGAGGCCCCCTTGCAGCGGCCCAGCTGGGAGGCTGCTCTATTACAGGTGGGCCAGGGAGCAAGGGTATTGGGGAGGGTGGGGTGCCCAGGGCCCTCCCTGCTCCTCTCTTCTGTCTTGACTTCCTGCTGCTCCAGGCGGCATCTGTAAGGTGGCAGGTGACTCTTCTCTATGCTAAGAACACCAGGAGCAGCTGGGGGGCTGTTCACATACAGTCACACTGACATTTTCTCACTCCACCCTTTCTCTGGGACTCTGGTGTAGGGTTGAGCTACATTAGCAGAAAGAGAAATAAGGGAACAAAAGAGTTAAAGACATGTTTTTTCCAGGCCCACACATGCCTGGCGGCTGAGGTTCTTAGCTGGGGGCCTGGGGAGAGCAGAGTGTCATGAGCACACGGGGGGGACCAGACCCCCATTCATGTTGTGTGTCTGCGCGCCTGTGTGCGTGTGTAGATGCATGTTCTTCCCAGTCCTTTTGAGAGCGTACATGTGTGCCTGTGTGTGCACACATCTCAAGCTGCAGGACTTCGGTCTGAACCTTGGTTTCCTTATTTGAAGAAACTGAGGGTCTGTGCGTGGTTGCAAGCTTTAGCTGAAAGAGTGCATGCAACTTTCTTAATGAAGCAGCTAACATAGGAGTAAGCGCTAGATGCATGTGCGACAGTGTGAGTCCTCTCTGGTCATTGTTCCTCATGAGCAGACACCCCCTTGTCAGGGGATTGCTCTGGTCACTATGGGGAGAGCATGGCAAGACTGAGCTGGGTTCCCATGCCCTGCACACACCCTCCCTGGGAGCTGCGGTGGGGCCTGAGTGTAAGGCCCCATGCCAGGCAGAAGCCTGGCAGGTCCTAGTGGTCCTGGGTGAGACCTAGATAGGTCACATCCACTAGATGTTTCCCCTGGGCCCTGCTATGGGGATGCCTGCATATGTGCTGTCACGGACCACACACAGAGGTGGGCAGGAGGCATCGCACACTTGCCGTCTGGCACTACGCATGCCCACACTCGAGCTTAGTCGGGTACTTGCTGTGCCCAGGGCTGGGCACACAGCCTTTGGGGGTCTCACCTTCATTGTCTTGCTTGCTGCAGCCAGGACAGTGACCTGCCCACCCTCATATCCAGTGTCCATCGAAGCCGCCACCTCGTTATGCCAGAGCATCAGAGCCGCTGTGAATTCCAGAGAGGTGGTGTGGAGATAGGCCTGGGAGCCTCAGGTGAGGAGCTGGGGGGAGAGAACACGGCTGCCAGGGCCACTGCAGCTCAGCCTGAGGACAGCCTGCCCTGCCACCACCACCGCCCTCCCCCCTCCCCCTGCCGGCGTCTCTGCTCAGCAGCTCTGGATGCCGCCACCTCCAGCAGCCTTGGCTGGCAGCCAGGGAGGCCAGCGGAGGCGGGAGGTGGCAAGGCTGGCTGTCCCCTGGGGCTCCATGTGATGGTAATTGTGTTAATCCCGGCCAGCCAGGGAGACGGGAGGCAGAGGCAGCGGCTCCACCATGGCTGCTTCTGGGGTGGGCTTGGAGCAGTCAAGGCCGCTGCCACCCCCTTCCCATAGGAGCAGAAACAAGGAGGACAGTCAGGGAGGGGCAGGCCTCACGCAGGCTCAGAAATGCACCTCCTGAATGGCTCACTTGAAGGCAGGGACACGTTCTGCATGCATGAGAGTGCCCATCAACCCCATGGAGCACAGGCTCCTGGAGGAAAGGGGTCCATCGCCTAAGAGATGGGGGGCTGGAGCCTGGACCTCTGCGGGGGTGGGGCAGGAGAGTGCTGGCCCACTAGCTCCTGAGGTCATCTCAGAGCAACAGCTCCTGGAGGTAGCAGGAGCTCAGGAGGAGGGGGCAGCTGGGGCACCCAGGCCGTCCCCCCGAGGAACAGGCCAGAGGGGCCTTGGCCGTGAGGCTTTGCTGCAGAGAATGGGGCATGATTGAGCTTTGACTGAAAGAGGAGAGGTCAAAGGACCTGGCAGGGGCCCCTTGCAGTCCAATGGACCCAGGGCAGGGAAGTTTCCAGCAGTGGCTACAGCTCTCAGGAAAGCTGGCCGGGAGATGGTCATCTCCACTAGTGCCCCCAGGCGTGCCTTTGCCTGGGAAGGCCTTTGTGGGGTGGGTGTGAGGGGGCTGCTTCTGGAGCCTTGTTGGAGGCTGCTGAGCAGGCAGCTGATAAAATCTAATTGCTCCATCGATCGGGCGGAGCCACAGGAGACCCACAGTGATTGAGATATTCTGAGCCAGCAAGCCCTCCCCCTGCTGCCCGCACACAAGGAGACCTCACAGTACACGGGCACGAGTGTGCATGTGTGGAAGCAGGCATGTGCGCCCTGCTCCCTGCTAGGGTTGTGTGCTTCGGGCCTTGGCACGGCCCAGGCACCCAGCTCACACTCTGCGTCTGGGTGTCACCCTGCCACCGCCTGTGCCCTCACTCACTTTACGCTGAGGTGCAGGGCAGGCGTGCAGGCACGCCAGGGGTCACAGGCACTCTGCATGAACTGTCACGTGTGTGCACTGTGTCCAGGTTTTGTGAGAGTGTGCTCTCTCCTTGGGGCTGTTGTCCCCCACTGGCTTCCACTTGCTCCTGTCGGCCCTTGGGTGGGGACGTCTGGCTGCCATCACCTTCTCTGGCTTCCCCGGCAGCCACATGTCAGTCCTATTCCCACAGGAATGGGTCCTGGACAGGAAGGGCCATGGAGGACTGTGAGGGACCCAACCTGGGTCCATGCTGGTGTCTCAGGACTGTGTGTATGTGTCTGTGCGTGAACATGGCCCTTATCAGGGACTAGTGAACCCCCAGATCGCCATGGCAACACCTCACTGCAGCCAGTGGGCTGGGTCTCACTGTGGGCCCTCCTTCTACCTCCAGAAGCACCCCCCCATAAGAAGGGGAGGGGGAGTTTCCACTGGGGACAATGGGAATAGGACTCCGGGAAGTGACAGTGCTGGGTTATTTGCTAAACCTAAAAGGGGTGTGTGCAGGATGGGGCATGGGCAGCAGGTGTGGACCCAGCCCACACCCACCTCCAGGGCTGGCACAGCTGGATGTGGTGGCTCTCCTACCTGCTGGGCCCTGATGCCCCGAAGCTGTTGGGAACCAGCTTTGGCTTCCTCCAGGAGCCCTCATGCTGGTTGTGCCCCTCTCTGTCCTGCCAGGTCACTGAGGTAGGCACCCTTCAGCCAAGCAGTAAGGACCTCGTCCCTCCCGGGGCAAGGCCTAGGGTTGGGCTGCCGAGGTGGCAGCGAGGTGGCTGAGATCAATAACTTATTAGCACCATTCTGTCAGCTGTAAAGTGGAGATTGATCGGCCTCTCGCTGCTGCCGCACTTCCCCGGCCTGATAAAAATGACAGATTAAGGGAATAAGAGAAAGGAATTAGGCTCTGGGAATTAGGCTTCTGGGAAGCCTGCCTTGCTGAGGTGTCATGGCAGGCCTGGTTCACAGAGGGGGTAGCCCTCACCCCACCCACCCAGGCAGCCTCCTCAGGGTGGAGAGGGGGCCAGAACGTGGGCTCTGGCCTGGAGGCCAGCACTGTGGTGGGCCCCGGGAGAAGAGGACATCTGCTGAGCTGTTCATCAGACATCCCATCCCAGGCCTTGAGCTCAGGAAGGAAGGATCAGGGGCTGGGGTGGAGAGGGGCTGATTTGGGGAGACAGATGAGTATAATTTGGATGTAGGACCTGAGAGAGGTCTTCAGAGAGGGGTGGGGCTGTGCCCCCCTCACACACACACACGCACACACACACACACACGATGGCCAGGCTGTGTACAGCAGACGAAACTGTTCAGGGGAGCCCTCAAGAGCTCAGAGCCCAGCAGGCAGGTGGGCAGTTGTGTGACAGGCAAGGCCAGGGTGCTGGCCCAGGCCTTCTAAGGGCAGTGAGGAGTGTGGCCTAGGTGGAGGTCCCCAGGAGTGGATGTGCCTGACCTTGGGGGCTTCAAGGTGTCCTTGGGGGCCTGCTGCCTAGCGATTTCCCTGAGTGGGTAGAGGCTAGGGTCCTCACCCCTGGGAGGGAAGGTAACTTCCAGGCTAAACCAAAGCCTTCAGTTCCTCTTCAGCAGAATGATCGGGAGGGCCCGTTAATTTCACAGCAGAGCCGTCTGGCTGGATGGGGGCAGCAGGGTGCCTGTGGAGTCCTGAGGTGCCACCTGAGACCGCTACCACAAATCTCCCATCACATACACACATACCCCAGAGTCCAGGACCAGAACTGTCCCTTGACCTATCCAAACCCTGGCAAGATATCCTCTGGCTGAAGGCCAGGGACCCTGGACTGGAAAAGGCTTTGACTTGGCCAGGACCCAAGGGCACCTGAGCAATGATGGATTAGGTTCTGGGCTGAGCTGGGCCTGGCTGGGACGGAAGCCTGGGCTGGGTCCCTCTCTGCCCCTGGCCCTCCCAGCCTCCATCCCCTCCAAGCCCAGAGATGCATGATGGGGCTCACTTTACCCTCCCCCAACAGGTGACCTGTTGGGCAAGAGGCTAGGCCGCTCCCCCCACATCAGCAGTGACTGCCCATTGGAGAAAAAGGCACGAAGCAAGTCGCCCCAAGGTGGGAGCTCAACTTGGAGGTGGAGGGACAGGCCACAGAGGAGGGAGGGAGATCACTCAGACCCCATGCAGGGCAGAACCAGCCCAGCAGCAGGTTCTAAGAGGGGAGGTCCTGCCTCTCCTGTGGCAGCATCTGAAGGAGAATCCCCTCACTTTATGCTCACCCCGACACAGAGACTCTGTTGCTGCCAGAACTAGGGCCCAGCATGGCCCCTGAGGATCACTACCGCCGGCTTGTGTCTGCCCTGAGTGAGGCCAGCACCTTTGAGGACCCCCAGCGTCTCTACCACCTGGGCCTCCCCAGCCACGGTATGTGCCCCCACCCTATGGCACCATCCCTTACCAAGTGTCTGCCCGTGTGTGCTGCTCTCTTGCTGTCCCTGGAGACCTCTGCTCACCCTGGAAAGAGGCTCTGGGATCTTTGGCTGCTGACACCAAGACTGGGTTTGGATGCGGATCTGTAGCCCCTTGTAGGGGGCACTGAGGGGTGACTCTCCTCCTCCCTCCGCCCGGGCATCCACTTGTCTGGGTAGATCTGCATATCCCTAGAGTCCACCCCCGCCATCTCCCACACACTCTCCAGCAGGGCCACCCCTCACTCGTGACCTGCAATCACTGTCATTTCACAGATGAGGAAACAGCCTGGGGTGAGCCCCAGTGAGAGTGGAAGGTGGGGACTGAGCCAGGCCCACCCACCCCTCTCCAGTACACGCAGCGTCTCATTGTCCGCTGATGTGTAGTCCTGTAAGCTGCCATCAGGGTGGTGTGTGAGATTGTGCCCGACACCTCACCTGGAGTCAGCGCTACGTTGGAGGGGCCGAGAGGAGGGGAGCAGTCGGGCTAGGACATCCAGAAGGGAGGATGGGTAGCAGTTAGGATGTGGCCGCCAGGACCTACCTCAGGGGTGCTCAGAAGCCCCCGCTGGAGGCACAGTCCCTGCCCCACCCAGCTCCCCACCCTGTGCTCTGTCCGTCTGTCCTTCCTGCCTCTCATGGACACACCTCACCCACCCACCGTCTGGCATCCTGACCAGCTGCACCCTAGCCTGGCAGACCCCAGCATGCAGTGCTGCCCCTAGCCTGGCTTTTCAGGCTGGAGGTGCGTGAGGAGTGCTGGGAAAGGCGGCAGGATTTCTTCTCCTTACACAAGGCACCGTCCCCCAGGGCAGTCAGGCACCGAGAGCCTGAATAATTCACCAAATGTTAATAATTTAAAAATCTTCCTTTTTAATTGCTTTCCCTGCCCTGCCTGGGGCCTGCTCCGCTGGCCTGCGCCGGGGAGGGGGCGCCGGCCACCGGGGAGCAGCGCCGGGAGCCGGGCTGTCAATCATGGCCCTGCGCCGCCGCCCCGGCCGCGGAGCCGACTGTAAATAACCGAGGCCGCCGGGCGGGCGCGGGGGCGAGGGGCCCCGCTGGGATCGATGCAGGCGGCCGCGCCGGCTGGGCTCTGCGGGCTGGCACCCGGCCCGGGCAGGGCCCACCTCCGCTTTTCGGGTAATTAATTTATAAACAGGAGGCGGTGGCGGCGGAGCCCACACAAATGGGGGGCTGCGGGGGGTGGGGGACCCAGAGGCCCGGCCCCAGGCAGGATGGAAGGACTCGGATGGGGAGCAGAGTGCCAGGCGCCTTGAGCGTGCACTGCGTGTTCCCTAGAAGGGGGTCACCTGGGCATTGTCAGTACAGGGCTGGAAACCCATTCCCACTCCTCCAGGAGCAGGCCTGCGCCCTCACTCTTGGGTTTTTGCATAACCCCATCTGCAGCCCTGCTCTCCACAACCTCTGAACTCCTTTCTCCACCAACATTCGCACCACAGAATCCCCTGCCTTCAGAGCCTTTCCCTCCCTCCCCACTGCATTTGAGTTACTGAAATCCCCATACCCCTTTCAAATGCTTACCGGCCCCTCTCCCAATACAGGTGGGTGCCTCCCAACCCCCATTCCTAACACCCTATAAAGCCAGTTGCAGGGTAATGATTTGAGTCTCCCCTGTCCTGTGGCCCTCTGTTCATCTTTCTGTCCCCATGACCAACCAGCAAGGTCACTGTAAGGATGTGCTCTCATTGGCTTCTGGTCTCCTTGGTGTCCTTCACTCAGCAGGGTTGGGGTAGTGAGAGACCTGGGGTAGCCCGGCCTCTGGTCACTACTGACCAACCCGCCCCCCCCCCCAACTCCCAGATCTCCTGAGGGTCCGGCAGGAGGTGGCGGCAGCAGCTGTGAGGAGCCCCAGTGGCCTGGAAGTCCACCTGCCTTCATCCACGGCAGGTCAGCGTCGAAAGCAGGGCCTGGCTCAGCACCGAGAGGGCACCATGCCAGCTGGCACCCCATCCTTCTCAGAGAGGTACTGGGGTACCCACATCAGAGAGGCCCCCATCTTCTCTTTGCTCATTTCTTGGATACAAAGCTGGGGTGGGCCTATCAGAAACCTAGTACCTGGTTTCTGCAGGTCCCGTCCACAGCCTGCATCTCCTTACCTTGCCACCTGCCTTCAGTGTGCACACTCTTCGCCCCCTTCGCAGCCACACGCTGCCGTGTCGGTACAGAGTGTGCCAGGCATTGTGCTGGCCCTAGGTTCATGGTCTGCAGAAAGGTCCTGACACCCGCTGAGCTGGTCAGAGGCCCAGAACACTCCTGGAGTAGAATGTGTGGGGGTGACCACCCCTCTGGGCAGGGTGTTAAGGGTGACTGCCGTTTCTGTTGAGCGACTGTGGGACTCGCTGAATCCAGGTGCCCCAGAGACAGCTGAGGGCTTTGCTCCCCCAACAGGTAGGTGAGGGGCTGGAGGCAGATTGGGGGAGTCTGTGGCGAGGGGGGTGTGGAGGGGGGCAGAAGGCAGAAGAGGGGAGCAGTGCGAGGTCTGGAAACCCTGAAGTCTGAGCTGGGGCAAGGGACACACACACACACGCACACCCACACCCACCACCACCACCACCACCAGCACCCTGCCCCCCTACGCCCGCGCACACACACCCACCCACCCACCCACCACCACCACCACCAGCACCCTGCCCGCCTACGCCCGCGCACACACACGCACACACCCACCCACCACCACCACCACCAGCACCCTGCCCCCCCTACGCCCGCGCTCGCGCCCCACTGGTCCACCGGCAGAGGCCAAGGGGTGAGCGAGCTAGGCGGGCGGTAAAGGGCTGGGCGGCTCTCCGCGGCCTCCTGCCGGGCGCCAGGGTACGCCCCCCCCAACAACGCCGCGCCCCCCGCCCTCCTCCCCCGAGCGCTATTTGCAGCTGCCTCCCCCGCCTCCAGGATTGCAGCTAATTGCGCCCCCCATCCCCCAGCCGCACAGGGTCCACCGCAGGCGGGGAGGCGGGGGCCGGGCGCGCCCCGTGCGGTAATTACCGCTGCAGTCGCCGCCGCCCGCCGGGTCAGCGCCTCCGCGCCGCCGCCGAGATTAATTGGCGCCGCCAGCCGGGGGCGGGGGCGGCGCACGACCCGGAGTCGTAACGAGCAGCCTCATCGACCGCCCGCGGGGCCGGCAATTAGTAGAGGCGGCGGCCGGAGGGAAGGGGGTGAGGGTGGGGGCGCGGGGTAGTTACGGGAAAGGAGGGGGCGCGCGGGGACTAGGCCGGGGCCTGTGGCGCGGACTGCTAACGGCCCTGTCGTTCACAGGGAGCTGTCGCAGCCGCCCCCCTTGCTGTCACCCCAGAATGCCCCGCACATCGCCCTGGGCCCTCACCTCAGGCCCCCCTTTTTGGGGGTGCCCTCGGCTCTTTGCCAGACCCCAGGTGAGGAGTGGGCGGGGTGTGCGAGCTCTTTGTGTGCTAAGGGGCTGTGAGTGAGCACACCGCGAGGCCGTCGGTGTGGGCGCATCCGGGTTTGCCGGTGACGGACCCCGTGTCCCCGAGTGCGCCCTGACTACCCATCCCGGCCCCGTCGAAGCCAAGGACAGACCAGGTGGGCTTGGGTGGCCCTAGACCACTCGGCCACCTGGCCTCGTGGTCTGTCCCCTTCCCACCAGGTTACGGGTTCCTGCCCCCTGCCCAGGCGGAGATGCTGGCCAGGCAGCAGGAGCTCCTGCGGAAGCAGAACCTGGCCCGGTAAGTGCGATGGCGACCGGTGAGGACCAGGTGGCACTGCCGAGCTACATGACCCACGCTACCGTCTGCTTTTCCCGGTCCAGGCTGGAGATGTCTGCAGAGCTGCTGCGTCAGAAGGAGCTGGAGAGCGCGCACCGGTCTCAGCTGCTGGCGCCCGAAGCCGCCCTGCGCCCGTCGGAGGGCGCCGAAGAGTTGCAGCGGCGCGGGGCCATGCTGGTGCTGAGACACAGCTCCGCGCCGCTGCTGGCCCTGCCCCCCCAGGGACCCCCAGGCCCCGGCCCACCCACCCCTCCCCGGGAGCCCGTCCGCCGAGCCCTTCGGAAGGGGGGCCCCAGCCCTGCCTCAGCCCACTCCAGTGAGTCCAAGGAGACCACGGGGGCCGGGTTCTGGGCACAAGATGGCTCTGAGGATGAGCCCCCCAAGGATTCAGAAGGCGAGGACCCTGAGATGGTGGCTGCTGGGGGCCAGGGCCCCAACCTGGGCCAAGCCCCAACTGGAGGGGCCAGCCCTGAGGGGAAGGGGCTTCTCTCAGGGTCCATGCTGCCCCCTCCACTGCCCCTGGGCTTACCCTACGCCGTCAGCCCCTACTTCCACACAGGTGGGCATCCCCCCTCCAAGCTTTAGAGCCCTCCACGGGGTGGAAGGAAACCCAGTCCCCACCACCACCCTGGGTCTTAGGGAGGGGGTCCATGGGGAGGAAAAAAAAATCCCTTTTAGTCATCGATCCATCTCCTCTGAACAATTTGGGCCAGTTCAATAGACATGGGTGGGAGAATAGGAAAGCGCTGGCCATCATCCTAGTAACCCCACCCCCCTAACCCAGGCACCATGGGGGGACTCTTCATGGATGGAGAGGAGGCCACCGCCCCTGAGGACCTCAGCAAGTGGACAGTGGACGATGTCTGCAGCTTTGTGGGGGGCCTGTCCGGCTGTGGAGAATATGCACCGGTGAGGGGGCGGGGTGGTCACACACCTTCCTGAGATGGTTCCAAGTTCATTCCCCAGTGCCTCTTCCCACCCCAAATCTCCCCTCCTCACTAACAGTGTGTGGGGAAGGGGAAGGATGCTGTCGCATGCCCACCCCCACCCCACCCCCGGGGCCCTTTGCCATGTCAGCGCTTCTGCCTCCAACATAGGCATATGCTCAACACAAAGATCTTCCTTTCATTTGCAAGTTTTTCCGGCAAACTATACCAACAGCTTCTCTTGGCCCTGCTCTCTCTGGAAAGCCATGAGGCAACCCCAGGCACTCAGCCCTTGGTGGGCTGGAGGGACCCAGCAGGGTGGGTAGGCACTGGTCCCAGCACTCAGGCCCTGACATCCCCCCCGCCCACCCCCCCCCCAGGTATTCAGAGAACAGGGGATCGATGGGGAGACCTTGCCCCTGCTGACCGAGGAGCACCTCCTGACCACCATGGGGCTGAAGCTAGGGCCTGCTCTCAAGATCCGGGCCCAGGTGAGTGCCAGCTGGGGGCAGGAGTCTCCAGACAACGGTGGGTCAGCACTGAGGCTCTTTGTGGCTGTAAGCCGACAGTCCAGCAGTCCCCCACCCAGGCCCATCTCTCCACAGGTGGCCAAGCGCCTAGGCCGAGTCTTCTACATGGCCAGCTTTCCTGTGGCTTTGCCGCTGCAGCCACCAACACTGCGGGCCCCAGAGCGGGAGCTCACCTCTGGGGAGCAGCCCCTGTCCCCAATAACGGCCCCCTCCCCCTATGGGGGGGGGCACCCCCATGCTGGCCAAGCCTCGCCCAAGCAAGAGAATGGAACTGTGGCTCTGCTCCCAGGCCCCGCAGAACCCCCCCAGCCTCTGTGCTGAACTGGTGGGTGAGCCACCCTGACCCCTAAGTCCTTCAGTGCCAGCAGCTGATGGTGCTGACCCACCCCACAGCTTACTTGCGTTTTGGATTTGGATGCAAAAACACAAAGAATTTTTAAAAGGAAAATGTGACTTAAGAGGAAAAGCGTTTTCAGAACTTTCTGGGGGTGGCAGTACAGACAGGTGCACACAGCCTGGGGACCCAAACCTGAGCCCAGGCACGGGGACCCTGCAGACAAGCCACAGAATGACAGAGGAGGCATGTCATGCCACACTGGCCGCGGCCGTGCCTGCTAGCACTGTCTGGAACTGGGACTGCTCCTTGAGAGGCTTTCCACATCCCGCCATCGGGGGAAAGAGGTCGGGGCAGAGTCCCACTCCAGACCAGCTTCTCTCACAGGCTTGACGTATTTAACCCAACACTGTGGGGCGCAGCAGTAGACAGCCCCCATGGTGCTGGTTTCCATCCCCACAGCCACCACTCCAGGGATCTGTGCAGGGCTCGGTACTTCCTGGTCTCTCGTGTTGTAAAAATAAAGCCCCGTCCACCATCTACTGCCCTTCCCCCACAGCATGGGCCCTGACCTCCAGGCTCAGGGCCAGCCAAGAAGCTACAAGCCCGACTGCCTGGTGAGGTGGGAGCACTGCACAGCAGTCCCCACAGGTCTGCAGGCTGGCAGCCCTCAGTCCTCCTCAGAGAGCTGCAGATCCTGCAACTCATCCTCTGGTCCCTGGGCCAGCTGCCACAGCTCCCGAAGGTCCAGGCCCGCCTCTGTGTCTGGGCCTCCATCTGCAGGGAGAGACCAAGGCAACATAAATTCTGTTTTATCAGGAAGAAGCCAGCCTTGAAGATTCCTCTCACTAATTAATCACAGCCCTAATTAATTTATTGGTGCCGCCATTACTGGACCAGCGGGAAGCTGGCCTGGCATCCCCAAGGAGGGCTGTGGGCCCAGCTTAGAGCCACATCCTCCCACCCGACGGCCCTGCCTGCCTACGCCCATGACAGCCTTGGGCTCCTGGACAGATAGGCTCAAAGGGCCACAGCACTACCCCTCACCCCCAGGAACCACTTACCTTTTGAACTGCCGACCTCTTCCTGGCTGCTACAGCTGCCCTCCTCCTCCTCCGCCGCCTCCACCCTCTGCCAAGCTCTTGGGGACCCAGGCATTCCTGGGGACCAAGGAGAAGAGTCCATGGGAGTGGGCCCGCCAGCAAATGCACACTGGGGGAAGCTAGTGCAGGAAGGTGGGCCAGGCTCACAACCCCACACCCACCCACCTTTCCCTCAGGCCCCCTTGGGGCAGATGGAGAGGGCTCCCAAGTGCCCAGCAAGGAGTGGGGGTGAGCGAACAAGGTCTGGGGACACGTGTTCCAATTCCAGGAGGCCCTCACACCTCAGAGCAAGCAGAGTGGTGGGAGAAGGGCCCCAGCAAACGGGCGGTAAGGTGGGAGCCGGCACCCCCTCTGGCTCCGTGAAGTGTCTAAGGAAGCCTTCCAGGTCCACCTGCCCCTTCCCCGCAGGGAGCTCGGGCCCCTACCTCTCTCAGAGAAGTCCATGGTACTATCTTCCTCATCACTGTCGCGGTCAAAGAGATCCTTAAATTCCACCCTGTCTTCATTCTTGTCTCCTACCTTCCGCCGCTTTATCTCTGGCAAGTTCAAATCTTCCAGCTGGAAGGACCCGGAATCAGAGTAGGAGGTGAGGGTGGTCAGGTGGCTCTGAGAGCACCCCAAGCCCGGTCCCCAACCTGCCCTGTCTCAGCCCTGGGCCCCACCCTCCACCTCAAGGCTTAGCCCACAGCCACAGCTAGGTCAGATCATGCGTCACGCAGCAAGGACCCTGACCGCAGTTACTGTCTCCCTCTCCCTCGCATTCCCAAAGACAGGCTTTATCCAAATCCAGTGTCCCTTTATCCAAACCCACTCCCTCCTCCGTTCCCCTTCAAGTGTCGCCTCCCAACCAGTCTTCCATGCAAAGACTCTGCTTGGCCACTTTTTCTAGCCAACTCTTTGTCAGCATCACTGGATAGGACTCCTGGACAGCCGCCCTGCCAGGCAGGTGAGGAGGCCCCAGCCACACACTAGCCACCAAGTGCCATCAAAGCTACAGTCACACCCACTGGCTGGAGGCCCAGCTGCAGCCCCTCACCTCTCCGTCTCCAAACTTTCAACCATCAATCCCAGAAACAACAGCAGACCCATGATGACATCAGCGCAAGGACCCAGATACAGACATGCCACTCAGCATGTCCCCTCAAGTCACACCATCCCACACCCACTGGCCAGGCCCAGACGCAGAGGCATAGCCCCTCCTGTGCCTCCCTGCCTATCCTCCTGGTGTCCAAGGTCAGTCTAGCCACTCGCTCCCCCAAAATCCCCAGCCAGTCTGGCCTTCAGGGACTCCTCCTGAAGGTCATGAGAGAAGCCCCCTGATTACCCAGTTCTGCATGATGTCTGCCTCTTCAGAGCGGCCACAGGACAGGTTGCAGCTGCGAACAGGCCCCAGCCATCCTGCTGACATTGTCCCTGGGACAGTCCCCTCCCACAAGCCCCCTTCCCCACTCTGATCTTAAAAGTCACAGCCAGGGAGCTAGATCCTTGTCTCAGAACAAACCAGGTGGTCACACCTGCCCATATCCCCCCTGCCAACCCGCCCCCCAGCAAACGTCCCCTGCAGACATACCCGCTCTTTGCCACTGATCTCCAGCTGGATCTCTCGCTCCCTCAGCTTCCGCCACTGGCTGTAGTACTTGGTGAGAGGGGTCCCTTCCTCTCGGGTCTGCTTCTCCCAGGCATCCTGTGGGGAGAGGTTCAGAATCATGTCCCATCCTGAGCAAACCTCCAAAGCCCAGTCCTGCACTGACTAGTACCCTCAGGCAGTGCCACCCACCCACCCTCGCGAGCTCCCAACTGACCACCGCGTGCTGATCGGCCACACCGAAGGAGGCCCCCTGGCGGCGGCTGCAGATGTACCCTGCGTTCTCCTGCACCTTCTCCAGCAGCTGGTGCAGCTGCCGGCAGTAGGTGGCCACCTTGCACTCCCGGAGGAACGACTTCAGCTGCAGAAGGAAGGGGGGGCTCAGTCAGGGTCCAGACACAGGCCTGCTCTGCACCCCACAATCTGTCTGGGTCACACATGACCACAGGGAGGTGGTGGGGGAGCAGGGAACATGGGTTCATGTGTCTCACAGCCCAAGTGCACATGTCTGGCCTTGGGGAGCCCTAGTGCACACAGCTGGGGAGTGGGGCCCAAGCGCACACAGCAGACTGTGGGGAAGGGGGTGCTGCATGACCACTGTTGCCAGGGCCTATGGGGGCTGGAGAGCAGATGGCCCATCCCATAGGCCAGGCAGAGGCACGGAGGCCGCAGTGGGGCAGCATGGATCTACCCTCCAGGTCAAATCCCACTCTCCGCCTGTCTCTGTAAATAAAGTTGTATTGGTACATGTCCACACTCAGTCACGTATGCCTTTCTGTGGGTTTTTTGTACATCGGCTCGAAGACCTGAGCAGCTGTGAGAAACCACATGACTGTAAAGTCTAGAGTACTTACCCTTTGACTCTACCAGAACAGTTTGCTAAGCCCTGTTCCAGACTATGATCCCTGGGACCTGGAGTCCAGAAATAAAGCCCTGCATACACAGCCACACCTGTCCCTGGATGGGCCTCTGAGCCAGTGCAGTTCTGGTCCGAGCAGCCCCACCCCTACTCACCAAGCAGGCCTACAATTGTGCGGGGCTGCTTCTGCCCACCAGGGCCAGACAGGGACAGGCAGTGCCACCTGGCACTTCCCATGAGAGGCACCTGCCTCCTTGAGATGGGAAACATCTAGGCTGAAAGCAAACGGACCTCTGACAGAGGTTAAGGTTCTGCTACTGGCCCTGTGTGGCTGTGACAAGGATGCCTCCCTCTAGTCACTACATAAATGGGGAGCTGAACCCATTAAGACAGCTTCGTCTGCTATATGGCAGGCCGTCGAGGGATCTGTGAAGGGAAGGGGGAGCCAGACAGTGGGTACACACCTGCAGGATGGCGGGCAGCGCCAGTTCAGGGAACGCAATGCTGTGGGCCTGGCTGTGCAGGTATTCCAGGATGAGGTCATACAGCTGCTCCACCAGGCCATCCTGAGGCAGCAGGGAAGAAAGGAGAATGTCAGGGATGGGAAGATGGGAGCTCAGCGCTTTTCCAGAGCAGTCCAATGTGTCCGTTCACTTTCCAGGGTGGAAATCGGAGGATGTGACTCCACAGCCTCCCCAAAAGCCACACTCACACTCAGTGTAGCTGAGGCCAAGGAACACTGCCCCCCCCACCCCAAAAGACCCACGAAGGTCCGCACAAATTCTGGAGGGCAGCAAGCCCCGTCCTGTCCACACTCATCTGACTCCTGTCACCCTACACACTGACCTCAGTGCCCTATGACATCCGGCTGTGACCCCCACCCAAGGCATTTCCCCAAACCCCTCCACAGGAGGCCTGAGGCCAGCCTCACCCGGTACGCCTTCTCCTGCAGGTTGACTTTGGACAGCTTCAGGATCACGGTGAAGTTGATGGGCTTGGAGCTCATGCGCCCCGGCCTCTTGTTGAAGTCGACCTGCTGGAAAACCTGTCCCAAGACCACATCAGCCCGGCCTGCTGTGCCTCATGCCTCACTGTACCACACACTCTACCCATACCCTGGGTCCCTAGGGACCCATTTTGGAACCAGGGACAAGCAGCCACATGCAGTGCCAGTCCTGTGGCCCCACAGACCCCCCTGCCTTGCAGAACTCTGGCCTCCAAGGGAATCACCTTATCTCAGAGTGGGGATCTGGTCGATGGGAGTAAGCCCAGGAGCACACACGTGCTCCTGACTCTCTCCGAAAACCAAAGAAAGGCCCTTCCTTTACACAGCCACTGTCACTGCAACGTTCTCACCCATGACTGCACCCCCGAGGCCTGGTGCTAACCCCCGGGCTGCATCCCTGGGAGGATCTCAGACTAGGGCCTGGGAAGCAACCACTCCCTCATCCTCCACAGAGACCACAGGCTATGCACATCAGCCTCCGCCTCTCGGAGGAGCCCACCCCTAGGTCCGAAGGCTGAAGGCTGCGGGGTGCCCTAGGGCAGCAGAGTGGGAGCCAAGCCTGGCCCCTCCTCACCACCCTTGCACAGAGGTGATCCAGGACGTTGTTCTGAAGGAGATGGGTGGCCGACACCGAAGATACCAGAGCTGGGGACGATGGTTCCCAGCTGAGCTCAACACAACTCCAGATGAAAATCACCCATGACTATGGTAACAACAAACTGTTTCCCTAAGGGAACATTGCCCTTTCTCAAACCTGGCTCAGCCTGGGGCGGGGGGGGGGCGGGGGTCGCTGCTCTCAAAACCCCTTCCCACCCACCCAGGAAGGGCAGGGCAGAAACTGCCTCCTGACTTGTTTTCTCTGGGAAGGAGAGACCTGCACCCCTGGGCGTGAAGGGACATGCCAAGCAGAGCTGAGGCAGGGGTCAGTCAGTATGAGAGCTGTGCTAAATTAAAAGAAATCAGAATAGGAATCCTCCAGGGGCTCCCTTCTCTCTCTTACTTGGTTGGAGATACAGAGCACAGCCCTGTGACACACAGCACACACCACACTGAGACACTCATCCAGCCCCTCCAGTGGTGGGTGGTACTAAGCCCTCTCTGATAGGGAGATGTGAAGTCCTAAGTATATGGTGGGCTGGGGCCTAACCCCTAGTGGGTTTCTGGGCTTTAGTCGAACCACCTTTCCCTACCTAAGCTACACGCATGTGCAGGCATGCACGTGTGCACATACACACAAATGCACACAGGAGTGTGCAGGAAAAGAAATGCAGCTTTGGAATCAGACCTAGGCTTCTGGCCCAGCTCTCCTGGTCACTGTAATAGACCAGACAGACCCAAGTGTGTCCTAAAACCAGCCTGCTCAGGCCAGCCCTGCAGGGCATCTGCCTGTGTCCTCACTGCCACTCTAGCCCACCAACACACACCACCAGCTTGGGCGGGTGGCAAGGCACTGCACAGAGCGATGCCATCCCAGAACCTGCTCTACAAATGAGAAAACCAGCCCTCGGGAAGTACCGTTATCTCAGAACACACGGTCCACGTACGGCAAGAAGGGCCTCCGAGGACTGCACGGAGGCACTGGACCACCCCACCCCGGTGGCGGGTACCCTCTCACCTCCAGCATGAAGGGCAGCACTGGGATGAAGGTGCCAGTACTCTCCGAGAGCAGCGTCAGAGCACGCACGCAGTGCATGCGCAGGGGGTAGAAGCGGGCAGTGGGGACCAGCCTGGGAGCGTGGGAAGGCAAGGGTGAGCAGAGGCCTGAGCCTCAGAGACCCCACAAGCCACCCGCCTGGCCTGGCTGCCCATGACCCATTCCCACCCGTGGGGTTCTAACCTCATTTCTGTCAGGGTCAGTTTGGCCACACCTGCCCCTTCTGATTCCTCCAGACAGAACACGGCAGAACAAAAGGCCCCGACTGAAATCCTGGTCTTAAGGACCTGTCTCCTCACTCAATTGTCAGGGTGAGGAAACACCCCAAATGACTTTTGACTTAATTTCATTTTAATGCAGGAGGGCGGCAAAGGGAGATGGTTCACTCAAGACTTCCTTTCTTCCCTGCTCCGAGCTTTCAAGGCTCCCCCTTCAGGAGCTCAGGGGCGACCCCTCCTGGCCAACCATGGCAGCCGCCCGCCACATGCAGCTCCTCCACCCCGACAGACCAAAGCTCAGGAGTCACAACTGACCTGTGGCCTATCACACAGCCCTGCTCTGTCCAAGAATCAATTCCTTCCAACTGCACATAGCCCTTTCTACCCAGCATCACCCAGAACACACGAGGTCTGGGACGCTGGGCCACAGACTGCACCACGCCCAGTCCCTCCTCAGGCGCTGCCAAGTAACAGACCCCAGGGTCCAGGGATCGTCCAGACCCTCCTGAAGAAGCAGGATGGCCTCCCTGGCCCTTCAGGATGCTTCCCTTGTAGCCCTGACCCTGATCTCCCTCGGCCCTCGAGGCGACCCTGCCCACCCGACTCACTTGATGCAGCCGATTACGACCTGGGAGAGGGGGTAGATCAAGGGCTGGAGGGCTTCACTGGGGCAGACCGTGCTGAGCGCGCGGCACCACAGGTACAGGCAATGCACGAACTGCCAGTTGTACACCGACTGGTATGTCTCCTGGGCAGAGCGAAGTCCATCTCCAGGTCAGCGCAGGGCTCCTGGAACGGCCCAGCTCCTCCTCACCCACCATGTGCACAGGATCTCAGCCAGCAGCAGCAGTGTGCCCACCTACCCAACCTCCCCCCTCCACCTGCCACCTATTCCCAAAGCCCCCACCAGCAAGGACCCTGATCCCACCAAGATGCTGGGCTGTCTCTCCCAAGAGAATGAGGCTTCCAGGAGGCCCCAGGCCCTCAGCCGCGTCAGGCTGGGGCCACCCCCCCACCCCACAAGCACAACCACACACCTTCTTGCATGTGGTCATGGCATTGCGCAGGTGGATGGCGAGCTGGCGGATGTAGAGGAAGGCGTGCTGGTAGGCGATGCCAGTGTCCAGGGCAAGCAGCTCGGTCAGGGTCCGCTGCATGAAGCTGATGAAGGGCAGGGTGCTAGGAGAGGTGAACTTGCAGTTCCTCACGTACGTGATGTACATTTGCTGCCAGAAAGACCCCAGTCAGAGCCACCTGAGCTCCCAGGGCCCTGGGTACCCACCACCCAGCTCCAAGCCGCCACCAGACACCTGGGCCTCTCCTTTACAGCTGCTGCCTTGGCGGGAACCAGTCTGGCCATGTCTGCTGCAGACCCCTCTCCCTACACGGCACCTGCTCCTTGGGCCCCTGCTACCACTCTGCCTCCACATGTATACACCCACCAATCCCATACAAAGTTTGCGGTGCCAAGAGGAGGGGTCCTGTAGGTACGGTGGGGTGCCAAGGAAGCTGCCAGCATGAATAACTGCAGGAAAAGGCAAGAACACCACAGAGGGACTGGGAAGGAGGGAGGCAGAAAAGCCCCAGCTATGTGCCAGGCCTTTGCAGGTGTTTCTAGAGGGACTCCGTGTGGGAAAGGCCACCCCAAGCTTGCAGCCGGACCCCATCCCTCTCCACACCTGATATCCTCATCCACTGAGGAAAAGAGCTGTGCACAGTAGTCCATGTGGAGCCCCAGGGGGCCAAGAACTCCCATCCCTGTCACTGTCCCCAACTTCTCAGGGAGGGAACTGTGATGACAGCGTGGGTCAGCCCAGAGCCACAGTGCCAACAAAGGGCACCAACCACAAGGGCAGCTCTCCAGCCCTCAGGCCAAGACTTTCAGCCCAGACCCTGATGGACAGACTCAGGGGCACTAGAGGCAGGAGCCCTGGGCCTGAGGACTACCTTGAGGACAGGACTCAGGAAGACGTCCTTTTTGTGCCGGCAGACCTTGACAAGGACCAGGAAGGCCAGTACACGCAATGTCTCTTCACCTGTGCTCCACAGGACCACCATCCTCTGCGGAAGGCAAGATGTCATTGCCTGCCCCAGCCTCCCCAAGCCCACCCAGAGGCCCCTGCGGTCACTGCTGGGAGACAGCCCTTCCCAAAGCACCTCAGGAGAGAAGCACTCAGAACTCAATCAGGGAGTAACAAAACATAAAACTAACCCTGTGAAGGCAGTACCACAAAAACACACGACGCCCATATCCAGACACGCACATTAAAAAACAACAAAAGTATGTCTTCATTTCTCGTCAGAAACCTCAGGAAGCTGCCACCTCACGTGACTGGTCTTGCAGCCCCAAGAGCAGAGAGCTGATGGAGACAGAACCCAAGCAAGGGCAGGGTGGGGACGGGCGCAGATGCCACCTGCACTCTGGCTAGGAGTGGGGCATGTCGGAGGGGTAGTGGCATGCACCCCCCCATCCCACCGATAGAGCGAGGGGCCGTGCACCTTGAGCAGCGCGCGGCACTGCTTGGGGAAGGTCAGGTAGTACGACACGGAGCTGCTGACATGCTGGAGCACAGCTGCTGTTACCGTCGCCTCCGCTATGCAGGCCACCAGCTGGGGAAGCAGGAGTGCACTGTGAGGGGCCACGCACATGTGGGCAACAAGGAAGGACCGGACCACCAGATGTGGCCAGGCCCCGTGGAACACGGCAGGCCCTCTCCCCGCTGGAACTGCACCTGTATAACTGAGCTCAGGTAAACCTTGATGTCCAGCCGGAGCTTCCCCCACAGCGGGCTGCTGGACGGCTGCAGCGCCCTGCAGAGAGACCAAACCCACACCCGTCTGAGTGAACCCCCACACTGCACGCTTTCCGCCAAAACCCGCCACCCTTCATGGTGACTGCTCTCTCAGTGCAGCGGCCCCCTTCATGCAAGAGTCCATGCCTGACCAATGCCAGCACCACCCTCACCTGTCTGTCAGCTTCCCTGCCCCCTTCCGACAGGGCCACCTCCACAAGGCTGCCCCCTCCCGATCACGAGTCCAGCCCTGGCAACTTCCACCAGACCCAGATAACTCCCGTGTCCAGGTCCGCCACTGCCCCATACCTCCCTTTCAGGTAGTGACGGCAGGACCCTTCCCTAGAGTCTTCTTTCTTCCTCTGCAAGGTGTCTGGGGGTAGTCTGACCCTTCAGGCTCTTACTACCTCCGAGTCATGTGGTTGCATGACCCTCCCAGGCAAATGTCCCTCCCCTTCTACCAAAGGTCTGCCGCTCTTCTCTCCCCTCTGAAGACTCTTCACAGCCTCCTCCACTCAATGTACCTCTAATGTGGAGCTTAAGGTTCTCAAACTAGCTTTGAAGAGGCACCTACCTATGGGCACACACACCTCCCAGAGCAAACAGCAAAGGAGTGGACAAGATATTCATTTAAAGACAGAAAAAGAGAACAAAAAAGAGAGAATCCTGACCTAGAAAACTAGTGGTGCAAAGCCAAGCACACACTCTGGGCCCCCTAAAAAATTCTGGGTAGAGAGTGTGTACCTTCTCGGGAAGAGAAGAGAAAGAAAGAAGGACAAAGCCACCCGACTGGCCCTGAGTGCCCAGCCTCTCCCGGGAACCCAGCCAGGGCCTGGCTCTATCTTCAACATCCCTCTACCCTGGCTGAGTCTAGACAGGACCCCTAGATCACAAGGCCTCTGGCTTCCCCAGCGCAGGGGCCCGACGACGCCTCCCTACCTCCCCTCTTCCCTTTCACCTGCTACTGTCCTTCGGGACTTTTCCAAACAGCAACTTCTGGAGACAGCCAAAGAGATCTCGAATGCAGAAGGTAACCAGGGCGTTGAACACTGCAATAGAGGGACCACAGATGCCATTCACAGGACAGAAGGATGGAGGAGAGAGCCTGTATCCCATGTTCTCTCACCCCAGCTCACCAGCACTGTCCGTGACCTGGAATTTGCTGGCTTCAGCACCTTCTTGGTCTCCTTGGGTGGTGACCACAGCAGCTCGGAATGCCTGCACAACTTCGTGGAACAGCTTCGGAGTAAGGTGATGCTAAAGGGGTTAAGAGGACCCAAAATGTTGGGGGAGAAATCAGCTGTGTCAGACAGAGCATGAGGCAACCAGAGCTCCAGAAACCTGCTCTATGAGAGAATGGCGCCCCTTGCCCACATTCTGAGATGTGGAAGCAGTGTTATGGAGCCACATTCAGGGAACAAAAAAAGGAGTCCAGAATGTTCCTGGAAGGGCAGGGAGCCTGGCTCAGGGCCATAGGGGAGAGGCTGAGGGTCCCAGATCTGGATGGTGACCTGTGACAGGTGGTATCTAGAATTCTCCCTCTGTCCTTTCCTTTTCCTGCAGAAACCAAGGCAAAACACTGGGAAGAAGGGCTCTGGCTCCACTGACTGGCAAAGGCACAGAGACTATGTCTTGCCCACAGTGGATTTCAGGCAGCAGGGAGTCTGAGAGAGAAACTGAGGGGAAGAGAGCAGGAGAGCCCCTAGACTCTCTGACAGAAGGACAGAATGCAATCCTGGAGCCTCACAGCATAAAGAAAGAATGAAGTGAGATTCTCTGGGGCTAAAGAGGACTCCAGTGCCAGTGCTCAGAGAAGGGCTCCTCCCACCTACCTCCTCCCGACTGCACAAACCCAAGTAACTGAAACGAGGCCAGCGCAGACTCCGACAGTAGGGTGGGGGCGGTGGGGGTGTCCAATTGCCCACCCTATGCCACTTCTCACCTTTGCTGCCTGCTTCCATCTCTCAACCATCACAAGGGTCACAGGAGCAGAATCTCTCCTCTTCCCCTTCAGTCCTCTGGGGACCCCATCCCCATCTGCATCTTCCCCCTCCACACTTGCTTCCTGCACCAGACAGAGGGCCAGGCTGCAGCAGGATGTAGAGGCCATAAGTGTGGCCCTGCCCCCACCAATTCTGCCCAGGCCCTCACTTCCAGCGTATCTGGCAGAGAGTGGAGCTGCTCCTCTTCATCCTCAGTGCTGTCTGAATCACTAAAGTTCAGCAGGCTCTGGTCATTCTCCTGTAGGAACTTGTAGAACTCGGGATCTTTGTCCTTCAGCCGAGAGAGCTGGTCCTTATGCTCAGATGCTCGACCTTTATGCCGGCTGAGAAGGTGGGGGCATCAAGTACAATGGATAGGCACAGCCCACAGGGGTCGGGGAAATGGGATGAGGCTTCCTGTCCTCCACACTGTAAGCTTGCCAACCTCCACAGAGAAGCTACAGGGCTTGATCTGCAACCTCCGGAACAGCTACCAACAACCAAGGCAGGGGGATTTCCAGTGTTAAGTTTTCAGCAGATCCCCCCTCCCCTAAACTCCAGACTCACATATCCAACAGCCTCTCTACACACGCTTCAACACCTGCATTTCAAACCCAACACATACAACACTGAACTTGTGGTTCTCCCAAACTTGCTCTGCTGGCACTCTGCTCCATCTCAGATGTCGGTAACCCTATCTTTCCAGGTACTCAAGTGAAAGACAGCCTCTCTACCTCTTATGCCCAGCATGCAAAGTGCCATGAGGTCTCATCAGCAAAACCCCTTCAAAGCCCCTCATGCCTCCTCTTAAACCAGCACCATCTCTCAGTTCTCCCAATTACCATAGTAGTCTCTCCCTATCTCCGTACCCACCAACTCCAAGCTATTCTCAACACAGCAACCCAAGTGACCCTTTGCATTAGTGCCATGTGACATTATTTCACAGCTCAAAACCCTGAGATAACTTCCCACTGTACTGGTATGTCTTATAAAGGGCCTGCAAGGTCTGACTCCACCATCATCTCTCCAGGTTCACCTCCTACTACTCTCCCCCTCACTCCTCCTTAGACACTCCCCTGTGTAAGACCCGCCCCCACTTCAGGAGCTCTGCTGTTCCTGACCTGAAACACCACAGTATTCTTCCCCTGTCTGCATGACTTCCTCCCTCAGGCCTCTGTTCAATTACCACCTCCGCAAAGGTCCTTCTCCACCAAACAGCAACAGGAACCCCCCAATATGCTCCCCATTTATCTAACCCTTTGTGTTTTTCTTTACTGTTTGCCACACTTAATCTTTTCTAACCAACCATACATCTGATTCACCCAGGCTGCATGAGCTCTTCTAGACCAGAAAAGGACCCTTTCATTATGCACCAACGTATGCCCACCACCTAAAATAAGGTTTGTCCGGGCACCTGGGCGGCTCAGTTAGGCGTCTGACGCTTGCTTGCGGATCCGCTCAGGTCGTGATCTCGGGTAGAGGGCTCCGCACTCAGCGGGGAGTCTACTTGAGATTCTTTCTCTCCTCCCTCTGCCCCTGCCCCCCCGCCCCCCAACCCGCGCGCGGTCTCTCTCCCTCTCTCCCAAATAATCTTTTAAAAAATATAAGTAAATAAAATAAGGCTCGTCACAGAGCAAGGCCTCAGCAAACACTGGAAGAAAGAATGAATAAGCCGAAGGGTCTGGGGGAAGGGCCGGAGGTCCCTGGGGTTCAGTCCTGAGGCCCCAGGAGTGATCACCATCCATCTGATGGGGTGGGGCCAGGACAGTGAAAAGGGTTTGGCTTTACAGACGTCCCAAGCGAGACGCTCCTCTCACCTGGACGAGGGGCTCCCCCCTAGCCCATCCAGTCTCCGGTCGGCTCCAAACACCGCCCGCGTCTCGGCTGCTGGGGCTCCTTCGGACTCCGATTCAGACTCAGAATCAAAGCCCGAAGCCAAGAACTCGTCCACTGTCAGCTCTGCCAGGCGCCTGCGGGTTACGACGTCGCAGTCAGGGCTCCCCGCCAGCCCGCCATGCCCCTGCCTTGCTGCACCAGGAACACGGAGATGCACAAGGAGAGCCCCTTTGGGTCTAAGCACCCACCGGAAGGCCGAATTGGTCCTCAGACCCTCAACTTACCGCTTGCCACCCCGCGCCGCCGCCATTATTGCCAGACAGCAGCGTGCGCCCCACTTCCGGCCCCAGAATGCCGTCCGTTAGCCGCACTTCCTCCGGGCCAGCCCCGCCCTCGGGCCCGCCCCGCCGCGCCCCACTGGTGGCTTTAAGTTTCTCTAACGGTGGCTCTGGTGGCATCCAGGCGGGAGGGCGCATTCACATCCTCTGTGCTCCGGGCTCCCAGGGTGGCAGGCCGGATGCAGGCTAAGGGCGCAGGCCTGGTTCAGTCACGGTTCCCGCACACATCGCCGAGTGTCGGGCTGTAGATCTCGAAAATCGGGCAGGACTGCATAGGGTGGAACCCTGACCTGCTGCTCACAAATCTGTGTCCTTCCCGGTACGAGGCAGTAATAGCGGCACCTATCTGAGGGAAGGCGAGGCACGGGACCTGGGGCATCCTCTCCCAGCCCTGCGCACAGCCTCCCCAGAGCTCCATAAGCACGTGCCGGTGGGGATGTCAATGCACGACAAAATGCATCCAGGTGAAAACATTTGACAGACAGGACTTCTATGCAAAGAGCTCTTACAAATCAATAATAAAGAGCCAACAGTCTAGCAGGAAAAGCAGTCTAGTAGAATAGGCAATGCCATGGGGGGGGCAATTCGCCAAAAAAATGATACTCTGATGGCCAGGACGGTCTCGACTGGATCAAATGAGGATCAGAACGATGAGAGTCACTTCTACTTCACTGGACAGTCCACAGCAAGGGGTGGGGGGCAGTGGACAGATCCCAGAGCTGTTATTGAAGCCCATTTGGCCAAATCTTCCTGAAAGTACTGCCCCTGATACTTGGGTCCACCAAGTCCTCTGCTGGGAATATGCCTAAATCCACAATATGGGGCCGGGCAGGAACGGCCGCTTTTCCTTTGCCCCGGCTGTGGGAAGGGCAGGTACAAAGGCCCAGTGGCTGGAAGAAAGGAGGTGGGAAAACCAGATTATGCCCTCCTATCTGCCCCCCCCCCCGCTCCAAGGGCAAGGGTTTGTGGGCCTGGGACTCCAGATCCCACAGCCTCCTTGGGAGCAGGCGTGGCTCCTGGCAGGTCCCCCAGGCCCTGCGCCCCCACCCCATCCCATCGCACCCTACCAACCACCACCACCCCACCCCCCCACCACCCGGCAGCTAGCGCCCAGTTCAAGGCCTGGTACGTGTAGGGGTTCATGGAGCGAACCCAGCAAAAGCCAGCCGAGCAAAGTGGTCTGTCTGGGGTCACAAAGGGGGCAAGGCAGGATGTGGTACCGGGCCGCCTCAGGGCCCGGGGGCAGCAGGGCCTTCGCAGCTGCGGGCCCAGGGTGCTTACGGGGGCGGGGCTTCTTAAATGAATTGGCTGGGATGGATGGCCCGGGAGGCTTCTCCGAGGTAGGCGGCGGGGGGGCGGGAGCTTCCTGGAGGAGAAAGTGGGCGGGACGCCCGGACACTGACTGGGAATATTGGAGTGTTCTGTTCAGCCCCCGAAGACGCGGGGAGCGCGGGAGGCGGGGCGGGCGGCGCCGAGAAACAGCGGCTGCGGGCGGGCGGCGGGAGCGAGGGACGCTGAGCCGGCCGCCACTGCCTAGCAGCCCTCCAGCAGTCAGTACGTCCGTTCGCCTGTGCGTTCTCCGCGGGTCGCGGCGGGTCCCGCAGCCGAGCCCATGCAGCCGCGCAGCGAGCGCCCGGCAGGCAGGACGCAAAGCCCGGAGCACGGCAGCCCGGGGCCCGGGCCGGAGGCGCCGCCGCCGCCACCGCCGCCGCAGCCACCGGCGTAAGTGGGCTGAGGGGCTGGGGACCGTAAGCCGGACCGGGGGCTGAGTGGGTCCGGGAAGGAGACAAGGAGGGGCGTGAGCCGACCCTGGCTGGCTGTCCGGAGGAGGCGGCCTCGGCGCCCGGCAGGCTCGGCCCGCCGGTGGAGGGTACAACTCCCCCTCTGTTTATCGCGCACACAGCGACGTGGGACAGGGCGTCCAGAGGTGGCTGCTTCCTGGAGGCTCTGTCCTCTCCCGCCGCCCTTGAATTCCGGCTGCGCCGCTCAGGCTTAGGCGACTTGTCTGCAGGATGGGGGGCAAGGGGGGGGTGGAGCCGCTCCCGAGGGTCAAGTGAGGTTAGACCTGCTGGTGGGCGTAGGGGTCTTCTTCAGAGCTGTCATGAGGCATTAGCCACTTCATGCGCATCCTGTGTGCTCAGCCCGTGCTGAGGACACTGGACTCTGATGGGGAATGGGAAGGGTGGCCAGTGACAGAGGAGCTCCTGGTCCCAACGAGGGCAAAGGGAACCTGGTTCTTATGAGAGTTACAGGCAGAGAAATCCTATTCTCTGGGGACCCCAGGGCAGAGGGGAGTATGGTGCCAGGAGGGGTCCTGGCAAAGGAAGCTGTGTAGGTCCAACTATGGCATCAGGTGTGTGAACTGGACCTCATGCTAGGAGCAAGTGTGGAGCAGTTTTGCCGCACTTCAAGGAGGCTCCCTGTATGAGAGAGAGAAGAGTTGGGGGGGAGGGGGGGTTGGTCCTTGATGGAAGCCAGGTATGGGCTGTCAGGGAGAAGGGTGGCCCTGCCTACGGTTTCAGGGGTGGGTGAGCAGCTCCCTGCAGAGTGCACCTGACCTGGCACTGCCCATCTGCAGCCCGGAGGCAGAGCGCGCACGTCCTCGGCAGGCCCGGCCCACGGCCCCAATGGAGGGTGCAATGCAGCTGCTGAGCCGTGAGGGCCACACTGTGTCCCACAACTCCAAACGGCACTACCACGACGCCTTCGTGGCCATGAGCCGCATGCGGCAGCGTGGCCTCCTGTGTGACATCGTCCTGCACGTGGCGGCCAAGGAGATCCGAGCACACAAGGTGGTACTGGCCTCCTGCAGCCCCTACTTCCACGCCATGTTCACAAGCAAGTACCGCCACATCCAGTCTGGGCACTCGGGGGGCTCCACAGATCTCCCAGGGCAGGGACTGGCCTGACCTGCTGTCCCCACAGATGAGATGAGTGAGAGCCGCCAGACGCACGTGACACTGCATGACATTGACCCTCAGGCCCTGGACCAGCTGGTGCAGTTTGCGTACACGGCTGAGATTGTGGTGGGCGAAGGCAACGTGCAGGTGAGGCTGCCTCATCTCACATCGCACGCCTCTACTGGGCCCCTGGGCCTCAGCTCCCGGTGTTTCCTTGTGCCTCTCCCTCAGTTCCTCATGTCCCGTTTCCCTGTCCCTGCTCCCCTGGCTCTCTCTGTCTCATCTCACCCCACAGACTCTGCTCCCAGCCGCCAGCCTCCTGCAGCTGAATGGCGTCCGTGACGCCTGCTGCAAGTTCCTGCTGAGTCAGCTCGACCCCTCCAACTGTCTGGGCATCCGGGGCTTTGCTGACACGCACTCATGCAGTGACCTGCTCAAGGCAGCACACAGGTATGTGCTGCAGCACTTTGTGGACGTGGCCAAGACCGAGGAGTTCATGCTGTTGCCACTAAAGCAGGTAACATGCCAGCGGGGCATGGCCTTGACCCTGACCCAGTCCCAGCCCTTGGACTCCTGGCTCCCTTCATCTTGGCTCTTAAGACCTGGCCCTTTGGCCCCCAACCCTTATTTCCAGCCTCTGACCCACATCCCTGCCTCACTACCCATGCCCTGCCCTCTCCCCACCTCACCCCCTTTTTCTGACCCACCCAAACCTTCAACTTTTGACTTCTGATCCCATCCTGTCCTGACCACATCCCTGCCTACAATCTCCAGGCCCTGGTTCTACACTCTTAGGGTTGTTCTGGGCCTAGGCCCCCAGGAACCAAATCTGTGGTTCCTGACCCTGCTTGGCCCCTTCTCATAGGAACACTGGGCTCCCCATTGGACTCTTCCTCCTGGGCACCTTCAGGGCTCCATGGGCCCCCAAGATCCTCCCTAGATCTCAGGTCTGAGGGTCCCCACCCCCAGGTGCTGGAACTGGTCTCTAGCGACAGCCTGAACGTGCCTTCAGAGGAGGATGTCTACCGTGCCGTCCTGAGCTGGGTCAAACATGATGTGGATGCTCGGAGGCAGCACGTCCCAAGGGTGAGGCCAGTGCCTAGGGGGCCCACTGTGCTGAGGAGGGGATACACAGTGGCTGAGGGCCTGGGTGCACTTGGGCTCTGCCGTGTCCAGAAACCCCCTCACAGGAGTGACGCAGACATGTGTTTCAAGAGGGGTCCAGCGTGTCTGAGGGGGATCTCTTCACTGGGGCCTGCCACCTGACTGTGGCACCCCTCCACCCCAGCTGATGAAGTGTGTTCGCCTGCCCCTGCTGAGCCGGGACTTCTTGCTGGGCCACGTGGATGCTGAGAGCCTGGTGAGGCATCATCCTGACTGCAAGGACCTGCTTATCGAGGCCCTCAAATTCCACCTGCTGCCTGAGCAGAGGGGTGTTCTGGGCACCAGCCGTACACGGCCTCGGCGCTGTGAGGGCGCTGGCCCTGTGCTCTTCGCTGTGGGTATGTTCACCTGTCATGTCTCCTCATGTCTGCCCCCTCCCCCACATACCCACCTTCTCCCCTCCCATCCCTGACCTGTGCTTTCTATCTGTGAGCCCAGCACAAGCCTATCTCACACTATGCTGGTCACATCCTGTACCCATCCCACACCTGCTCCTTTGCCCACCTGTGGAGGACCCCGCGTGGTATGACCCACTCAGCAATCCCCATCCCCACCCACCTTGGAGCCTCCATACTCTTGACCTTGAGCTGCGCTAGAGACCCCCAGCCATTGCCTCCCTGGGTCCCTTGTCCTGCCCCATCACCTCCCCTTTCCTAGGTGGTGGGAGCCTGTTCGCCATCCACGGGGACTGTGAAGCATATGACACACGCACTGACCGCTGGCACGTGGTGGCCTCCATGTCCACGCGCCGGGCCCGGGTGGGCGTGGCCGCAGTTGGGAACCGGCTGTATGCTGTGGGTGGGTAAGTGTGGAGGCTGGTTTTGGGTCAGGGGCTTAGCATGTGCCCACTGGGCCAGTCCTGACCGGCAGCGGACCCCTCCCCTAGTTACGATGGGACTTCAGACCTGGCCACCGTAGAGTCGTACGACCCTGTGACCAACACCTGGCAGCCTGAGGTGTCCATGGGCACGAGGCGCAGCTGCCTGGGTGTGGCTGCCCTGCACGGGCTCCTGTATGCAGCTGGTGGCTACGATGGGGCCTCCTGCCTCAACAGGTAGTGGCCGGGGTCAGGGCCGGGTGGCCTCTCGGGGTTGGTTCGCCTGCAGGTGTGGCTGCATCAGGACTGCAGAGATCATGCCTGAAGGGAGCAAAGAGGGATCCAACCTGACTCAAGTGACCAGGGCACCCTGGGCCTCTTCATCTGCACCAGCCCAGCCGCCCTTCTTTCCCTCTCAAGTTCTTCCCACCAGCCACGGGCTGGGCACCACATGGACACTTGCCCAGGATCATGCAGGCCACCAGCTGGGGTCCCATGTCCCCACCCAGAGGGCCTGCTACTTGCTCCAGTGGGATTCTGGGGTCAGTCTCTGTAACTGCCCAGGATGGGATTTTAATCATTCCATGGGGGAGGGCAGGTCGTGGGACCAGGGCAGCCTTTCTGCCACTGCTCAAGGTCAGCGGCAGGCCTGGTGTCCACAGTGCTGAGCGTTATGACCCTCTGACGGGAACATGGACATCCATCGCCGCCATGAGCACCCGGAGGCGATACGTGCGTGTGGCCATGCTCGGTGGGTAACAGGGCCTGCTCTATGTAGTGTCCACCCCACCCCCACCCCTACCTGCCCCCACCCTGGAGACCCCACACATAGCAGGCACACCACGGGCGCGTTGACTGTCTGCAGATGGGAACCTGTTTGCTGTGGGTGGTTACGACAGTTCATCACACCTGGCGACTGTGGAGAAGTATGAGCCCCAGGTATGGAACACACCCCAGTCACACGAACTTCCCTTCTAAGGGCTACTTGAGGTCTTTGCTCTGGTCACCCACATCACCCAGATGATCAGCCCTCTAGGTCCCACCCCATCCCACATATACCCTATCCTGGAGTAGGGTTCTTGCACTGTAGAGAAGGAGGGAGGATGGTGATGGGTCTGCCCCCAGCTGGTCCCCTCAACCGCAGGTAAACGCATGGACCCCCGTGGCCTCCATGTTGAGCCGACGAAGCTCAGCAGGGGTGGCGGTGCTGGAGGGGGCCCTCTACGTGGCCGGCGGCAATGATGGCACCAGCTGCCTCAACTCTGTGGAGAGATACAGCCCTAAGGCCGGTGCCTGGGAAAGTGTGGCACCCATGAACATCCGAAGGTGCGCCGGCCCCTCCCCCACAGGCCTGGAGTGTCCCCATGTCACCATCACCCACCAGAGACACAGATCTGTCTTAAGGCCTCCAGCCGGCGTGGTCTGTCCACGCCTCCCATCAGTATACACACCATCCAGCCTCAGGGCCCCGCCCAGCCCCAGGGCCCCGCCCCCGGAGGCTCCTCCCGTGGCCCCGCCCCCGGAGGCTCCTCCCGTGGCCCCGCCCCCGGGGCTCCTCCCGTGGCCCCGCCCCTGGAGGCTCTTGGAGTCCCGCCCCCACGGCTCACCGCCCCCCTCCCCACCCCCCACCCCACCCCACCCCCAGGAGTACGCATGACTTGGTGGCCATGGACGGCTGGCTGTATGCCGTGGGGGGCAACGATGGCAGCTCCAGCCTCAACTCCATCGAGAAGTACAACCCGAGGACCAACAAGTGGGTGGCCGCGTCCTGCATGTTCACGCGGCGCAGCAGCGTGGGCGTGGCAGTGCTCGAGCTGCTCAACTTCCCGCCTCCCTCTTCGCCCACGCTGTCCGTGTCGTCCACCAGCCTCTGACCCGCGGCGCGGACTGCACAGAGGCCCGGCCCCGCGGCCGCCTACATGCCTTAAGCCCCACAGGGCGGCCCCAGCGCCTCACGTGTCGGGGGCGGGGTGCTCGGCCCCCACCAGGAAAGTCCTGCCCTGTCTGTCCTTGTCTCTGCGTCGAGGCCGTCCGTTTCTGTGTTCATTTCTCAGTGTCTGTTTATGTGTGTGCCATTTATTTACTTACTGGTTTGTTTATTTATTATTTATTGATCGATGAGCTGCGCAGCACTAACTAGTTTACACGTTTCCCCTTGAAGTGTCCTGTGTCTCTGGGACCAAGCTGCCTTCCCAGGTGTCCTCCTGCTCCACTGGGGGCACCAAGGAGCGATGGGGGTGGACACTTGCATTGCGCATGGGTCAGAGGCGAACTCAGACTCTGTAGACCTGGAGGGACTGAGGGGGCAGGTACAGAGCAGCAGGCCAGGGTTAGTGGGGTGAGGGTTTTCTGAGCAGGTGCAGACCCTTCCAGCCTGGGCTTTGCACACCACCCCTACCTTGCCCAGCCAGGCACGCTCCCAAGAAGGACATGAAGCAAGCTTCCTTCTCCTGGGCATGGTGTCTCTTCTCGATCCTGCACTGAGCTGAGCACAAGCGTGCCACAGACCCCACATAGCAATATGAGCCAACTTGAACAATAAACATGTTTCTTGGGCTCTGTGGGCTTGAGGCTGAGTGTACATCTCCACCCTTTGGGGTCTTATCTGGGGTGACCAGGAGGGCCTGGGGACAGGTGTGCAGCTGGGCTGAGGCTCTGCTTTGGCATCCGGGGGCTTTGAGGCAGCAGCATCACGTCCAGGTGGGTCAGGGATGTGATGTCGTGGATGAGCACCCAACCAGGAGTGTGGCTCGCTGTCAGCCTGGTCCTGAGAGGCCCTCGTGGTCCCATCTCATCCCAGGCTCTGGAGAGAGGGGAGTGCACAGTACTACCTCTACCTCACCATGATGGTCCTGGGTGCACCCTGGGTTTGTGGCTTCCTTCTTGGACTTTGGCCTGGGGTGAGGTTTGGGTTGAAGCAGGAGAGGTTGGGGGAGGGTCCTGGCTTCCCCTTCCCCAAAGTCATAAACTCCTGTTTTAGCAGCTGAGAGTGAGCACACACCCCCCTTGCAGTCAGTGGTGACTGAGACCGTGGCATTTAGGTGGAAACAGGATGTATGCTCTCCATGGGGAGGGGTGGTATTGGGAGGAGGGAGCCCTAGGCTCACAGAGCTCCAGCCACAGGCAACCCCAGGCAACCCCAGCCTGAGTGCGGGCAGGCCAAGTACTCACAAACCAGGCCTTTGAGGCTCCTCCCATACAGATTGGAGGCTGAGATGGGTTTTCTTGGCTGGACCAGGGGAGAAGACTCCTCCCCACCCCCCACCCCCACCCCGCAGCGACTCCAGCCTGGCCTGCATGTGTGGGGGACCCAGGTCAGAGAATGGAAAGGCTTGGGCCCAGGTGAGGGCCGGGTCCCTCCTGGAAAGGCTCCACCCTCGTCCGGCCCTCAGGCATAGGGCAAGACTTCCCAGAGCTCCGCCTGGGAGGCGGGACAGGAGGCTCAGTACAGAGGGACCCAGACCTGTCGACCTGTTCAACTTGGGCCCGCCGCCACCGCCGCCCATGGGGAACAGCCACTGCGTCCCTCAGGCCCCTAGGAGGCTCCGGGCGTCCTTCTCCAGAAAGCCTTCGCTGAAGGGAAATAGGTGAGGGGGTGGGGAGCCCAGCCTTGGTCCCTAGGTCACAGGGGTGTCCCTCAGTCTGCCTCAGGGGCCAGGCTGTGAGCCCCCTTCCCTTGTCCCCAGAGAGGATGGCGCAAGGAAGCTGGCTGGCCTGTTTGGCTCCGAGGCCGGTCCTGACCTGGACGCCACTGCTGACAAGATCTTCTACTACATCCCTGGGACGGTGAGCAGGCGGGTGGGCATGTCCCAGCTCACAGGGGCGCGGTGGCGGTGGTCTCTGTGTGACTGTGTGTACCTGTCCTATCTTCACTCAGCTCAGGGTCTTCCCCTGTCAGCCTGGGTGGGAGTCAGATCCAGCACGAAGTGAGGAAGTAGACACTGCCCCGCCCTGGGGAGCTCATCTGGCCGAAAGTCTGAGCGGAGAGTGAAACTGCGAGACACTGAGTCAGTGGGGTGAGGGAGCACTCGGCAGGGGCGGGCCACAGGCGGGGCCTCCAGGAGTCTCTGCTACACCAGAGGGGGCACCATGGCCGGGCTATCCACTCAGAGCCATACGTGGGGTGTATGCCCACCCCCGCCCTGGACTTGGGTGTGGGACAACATGCCCAGGCACATTCGAGGTGGACCGAGCACATACAGCTGTGTTGCTGTGGCTGCCATCACTCTGAGAGAGTAAGGGGCTTCAGGTGAACAGTGAGCCAGCCCAGGCCTCAGTTTCTCCCAGGGGGTGTCTCGGCATCCACCACTGCCTCATTCCACAGCAGCCCGCTGTGATTCCCCCTACCAAGGCCACACAGCAAGGACATGGCTTCCACATGCTAGGTTACCTCTGAGCTAAACACCACCCCCTCTCACCTTGCCCGGCTCCTGGGGGGCTAAGGGTTAGCTGAGAGGGGAGACACAGCCCTTTTCCCTAACCTGGATAGCACTGGGTATGGTGGGAGGCTCTGCTATCTGCAAAAGCCCCAGAATGTGAGAGAAATGATACCCCAGTATCTTACCCCAGGCCGGAGAAGGAGGAACATTTGTCACTCAGGGTGATCCCAACCTGCACTCTTCTCACACTGTTCCTTTGAGGCCTAGCAACTGGTGGGGGCTTCCAGAGCCCACCTTTCCAACTAGTTCCCATCAGTCTGGGAAGCCCAGGCCTGTCCCCTTTCCTGCCCTCTGAGGTCCCAGGGCTCCCTGCAGGCAAGTGCTGGTTTGAGAAACCATGCTGCCTCAGAGAGGTGGACAGGGCACTTCTGTCCAGGGTCTGGCTGGGCTGGGATAGAGTCCCTCCGTGTGACTGCATCTCAGACCTCAACTCTGTCCAAGCCCAGGACACATCATGTGACCCTGGTGGAATCGCGTGAGATGTGGTGGCCCCGGTGGTCCTCACTTGCCAAGACATAGTAGCAGGAGAGGGGAGCAGGCCTGTTGAACCTGGGAGGGGAGGGGGCACCAGGGGAGGAGCCACTTCTTAGGCCCTGCCCTGTGGTGGGTTCTGCACCTACAAATGAGCCAGCCCTGCCGAGGCTCTGAGCTGACTCCTCCCCAGGCTCTAAGGCTGAGCCTGGGCCACAGGGACAGCTCCATGGCCCTTCCTGTTCATGGCCTATTTTTCATGGGTCCCATCCCTGAGCTGTTCCCCACACTGGGTGTGGGTACAGGAGGCCGCACCCAGAGGCAGGGAAGCCTCACATTCCTGGGCTTGCCCAAGGGGCAGCTTAGCTTGGCCAGGGCTCAGCAGCCCTCAAGGCAGCCCCTGCCAGCACCCAAATGGAGCATGGCCCCTCCCCAACTCACCCCTGAGCCCCTAGACCTCAGCCCTTCTAGCCAGGGTGTCAGGTCAGTACCCATCCCTATCTGACTTCCAATCTGGTGATCAAGCCCCCGATTAGAGAGGATTCTCTGTGTGGCAAGATTGGCTAAGTGTGGGCCCCAACACTCCCTCCCCTCAGCAGACAGGCATCGAACCCCCAGGACATCTCAGGCCTGGCCTAATTCTGGGGATGCAGCAGTGGGCAAAACAGACAAAGACCGTGTTCTCTTGGTGCCCCATCTCCATGACAGAGCCAGGTGATAAGTGTGTAAAAGATACAATAAGCCAGAAGTGGCTAGTGTGGAGAAAAATGAAGGAAGAAAGGTGTGCAGAGGGGTCAGGGAAGGCTACAGTGTTAGGTTATCCAGACAGGACCTCACGGAGAAGGTGACATCCGAGCCACGTCCTGATGGTGAGAAGAGAATGGGACTGAGTGGTGTGGGCAGAGGGAATAGCAAGTATAAAGGCCCCAAGGCAGCCTGTGCCTGATATGGGCAAAGAGGACCCTTCGGGCCATTGCCAGGACCTTGGCCTTCTCTGTGGGTGAGGTTGAGGGGCCTGCTGCAGTGTGCTGATGCAGTCGGCACAGGCTCTCAAGGGCTGATGTGATGCATCTCTTTCCAGCTCCCCGTTAACTGACGTGCTGGTAGCTTGAAATGGGCCATGGTGGGAATATTAACATGGAAACACCCCCCCCCACCCTGTGAAACCAGGTATTAAACACTTATAGCCAACACTAGAGGCATGAGAGAGCTTTGAGTGTCATCTGCCTCAGACACCCAAAAACCCCTCTGACCAACAAGTCTTGGGAGGGTGAATAATCAAAACGCAGGTGTACGGGTTAGGAAATATCAAAAATACAGGTCGAATGTCCATTGAGTTCAGCCTTCGCCACCTCTACACTAGACCGTGTCATCTTATGACGTGTGTATTCTGCCACCATTTCCATGTTAAGAGGCTGTGAGTGCGTATTGGGGTTCTGTACCTATGAGTGATGGTGTGTGTGTGTCCCTAATCTTTGTATTACGTAACTGTGGGTGTGTGTATGGGTGGGGCAGCTGGCCCCAGGTCAGCGCCCCCCGCCCCCTGAGCTCTGCTCCCCACAGGACATCCGGGGCCTGGAGAGCCAGCGAGAAAACCTAGAGCAGCCGTTCCTGAGTGTGTTCAAGAAGGGGCGGCGGAGGGTGCCCGTGAGGAATCTGGGCAAGGTTGTACACTATGCCAAGGTCCAGCTACGATTCCAGCATAGCCAGGTGGGGCCAGGCTGGGTGGCGTTGGGGGGGGTGCTTGGGTACCAGCCTGGGGCCTGGCCCCCAGCCCCTCAGATCGGCAGCCCTGCTCTCCCCCAGGACATCAGCAACTGCTATCTGGAGCTGTTCCCCTCCCACCTCTACTTCCAGGCCCATGGTTCCAAAGGACTCACCTTCCAGGTGAAGGGAAATGGGCAAAGGGAGGAGTCTGGGGGCAGAGGGAGAGAGCAGCCTCTTGGGAGGTAGGTATCCATGTCTCACTAGGGGTGCCCAGCCCTCCCCTTCCCCCATGTGCTCTGGCAGGGGCTGTTACCACTGATGGAGCTGAGTGTCTGCCCACTTGAGGGGTCCAGAGAGCATGCCTTCCAGATCACAGGTGTGTGGGGGGCATGAGTGGACCTGGCCCCCAGGAGGGGCCTCAGCTGGGGCTGCTCAGTGGCCTTGGCCTCGGGCTGAGCTTCAGAACCCTGGAGGGACCCTGAGTGCACTGAGGGATCCTGGCTTTTCCTCCAGTGGGCAGATGAGCACTTGCCAAGCTGGGGTGCAGGACAGCGGGCAGGAGACCTCCAGAGCTGTGAATGCAGCCCCGTTAGTGGCCGATGGTCCCAGATGGTGCCACAGGGTCCTCCTGTCCCAGGCCCTGGGGTGCCCACGGAACCCTTGGGTGGGGCCTTTCCTGTGGGCTGCAGGCCCAGCCCACTCCACCCCTCTACCCCCAGGCCCGCTGCCTGCTCCCCTTCATGTGCTCTGCCCCAGCCAGGCTGAGCTGGGCCTCTGGCTGTACCACCTGGAAAAGCAGATAGCCCTCGTGGGAGGGCTGCAGCACTGCCACTCAGCGCCCCCGCAGGTCAGTCCTGGGAACCCCCACACCCCCTTCCTGTCCCCTCTGTGCCAACACCCTCCGCTGCCCCTGACCCCCCTTCGCCAGGGCCCCCCTGAGGACGAGCTGCCCTGGACTCTGCAGCGCAGGCTGACCCGGCTACGGAAGGCATCAGGGCATCAAATGGTGGGCAGCGCCGTCTGTGCCTCGAGGGTCAAGCTGCAGCATCTGCCCTCACAGGTGCGTGGGGGCGGGGGGAGGCGGTACCCAGGGGTGAGAGGGGATGGGGCCATGGAGTGAGGACATGGGGGCGCAGGGTTGAGGATGTGGAGGCACACGGTGAGTGGGAAGAGATGAGGGCAGGCGCCGAGATGGGGGAGGGATGAGGAGATGGGGGCACAAGGGGTGAGGAGATGAGGGAGGGGCTCAGGAGGCAAGTGGGGGCCAGGCCCTCACACACACTGGTCGAGCCCCCACTCTGCCCTTTGACCCCCTCGCAGGAGCAGTGGGACCGGCTCCTGGTCCTGTACCCAACATCCCTGGCTATCTTCTCCGAAGGAGCGGAGGGGCTTTGCTTTAAGGTGGGTCCCTCCCCACCGTGGACCCACCCGGGAAACGCCCTGTGTGCGGGGGTGGGAGAGGGCAGCGGCTCAGGAGGAACCTGTATTTCGGGGCCTGTTGAGACAGTGTGCTGGCCCCACCCACCCGGCCTGCTGCCCTGGTCAGTCTGGTCTCAGCTGTGATGTGGCCAAGGAGGGGTCCCTGCATAAATATCCCTTATCATCCTAGAGGGTCCTCCACCATCAGCAGGACCATCACCTGGGGCAGGTGGCATGGGGGCAGAACCACTCCTGGGAGACACTCTTGTGCTGGGCCTGTACCTCCGAGTGGACATTTTCCTGGTGCCTGAGGGGTGTGTGTGTGTGTGTGTGTGTGTGTGTAGGAGGGTCCTCTGGGGCTGGAGTGTGTCTGTTGTGTGCATCACAGTAACTTTCTACTCTGGGGGTGATCATGGTCCTCAGTCACTGAGAAAAATGCAGGGGTGTTCCCCATAATTCCTTCCCAACCTATCCCCAGTCTTAGTAGGTGACCCAGCGGACCGGTCCCCAGAGGTATCCATCTGTGCCTGCCATTGGCTGATGAAGGCCCCACCCAGAGCCCAGGGGTAAAGAGATCCCTCAGGACAGACAGGGAGCGCCGGCCCTCCTCATGGATGTCAGCCTCAGCCCTGTCTTTTTTTTTTTTTTTTAAAGATTTTATTTATTTATTTGAGAGAGAGAGAGAGAATGAGAGATAGAAAGCATGAGAGGGAAGAGGGTCAGAGGGAGAAGCAGACTCCCTGCTGAGCAGGAAGCCCGATGTGGGACTCGATCCCGGGACTCCAGGATCATGACCTGAGCCGAAGGCAGTCGCTTAACCAACTGAGCCACCCAGGCGCCCAGCCCTGTCTTGCCCCCTGTCTTGCCCTCTGCCTGCCATCTGAAGGCCCAGCCCAACTCTGGAGGGTGAGACAGAAGTATGGGCCCAGGCAGAGGCACAGGGTTTTGCCCGCAGACTCAGGCCCCATCTTCCATCACTGCTCCCACAGGGGGAGCTCCCACTCAGTGCTATCCGCATCAACCTGGAGGAGAAGGAGAAGCAGATCCGTTCTTTCCTGATCGAAGGTGGGCAGAGGCCTGGCTTGGGGGGGGGCATGAGCCTGGTGGGTGCCCCAGCTCTTCAGTGGGGCCTTGCAGGGGGCTTTCTGCTTGCCAGGCCACCCTCACGGTGTCTGTGTGCTAGGCCGCCTCATCAACACTATCCGCGTGCTGTGTGCCACCTATGAGGACTACAGCCACTGGCTACTGTGTCTGCAGACTATCTCGCCCGGGGACGGAGCTGCCCCTCTGGCTGGCCCTGAGAGCTTCGCGGGGCCGCGCGTGTCCACACAGGTGAGGGGTCAACGGGGAGATACTGCCCCCACATCTCACGGTCTGGGCAGAAGGGTAGGTCTAGGGCATGGGTGGTTACGGGGAGGGGCCCTGCTCTCTGTCTCACCTCCTTGCTCCCGGCCCCCTGCTGTCCAGGTCATGGGCGGTCGCCGAGGCTCACTCTCCTCAGATGGACAAACCAGCCGGGACTCGGGGTGCCCAGCACCCCCCTCCACCCACACCAGCCCCTCTGTCCCTGAGTCCTCGGTGCCATCCACCACCCGCTGCCCTGTCCGGGCTGTATCTGTGAGTATCAGAGGCTGGCGAGGGGCAAACAGAAGAAAAGGGCAGGAGGTCATGAGGGCAACCTGCCTGGGTCCCCAGGGCACCCCATCCCAGGCAGGACCTGGAGGGAACTGGGCGCAGCCTCAGAGGACCGAGTGGGTGAGGGCCCTTGGGAACCTTCTGAAAGGTCTTTGGTCCCCACAGGACCAGGCCAACCCCGGCTGCACCAGCGTCAGCAGGCAGAGGGCAGAACTGAGATGGAGCAGCATCAGCCGGTCACCCAGGAGTAAGGCCCAGGGTGAGGGGCCCAGCCTGGCCACCCCGTTGTACTTGGACCTGACCAAGGTGGGCCCAGCACACTGACCCAGTTCTCCCTCCCACCCTCCACCTCCCTGGCCTCCATCTCTCAGGCCCAGGTGGTCCCGGAGCCACCTAGAGGCCTTCTTGCACAGAGAAGGGAGGACTCGGGCCACCTCCAGCTCCAGGAAACCTGTCTCTTCTGGCTCTTGCCTGCAGCTGAGCAGGCAGACACTAGAGGACGAGCCTGAGGCCCCAGACCACCCTCCGGAGACCCCACACTCCCCACTCTATGCTGATCCCTACACACCACCTGCTATCTCCTACCACAAGATCACAGACGTCCAGGACCTGGATGAGGTCAGTTCCCTGTGGGTGACAGAAAGGGCTAGATGTGTCCACAGCCTGAGGTCTGCTCAGGTCATGAGGAGTGGCCAGGGGGTTCTGGGGGCAGGCATCCCTCAGCTCCATGGAGGTTCTGGTCCAGGGCCTCAGGTCCCCACCCCTTTCCTGGCAGTTCCTCAGCGCAATGCAGGGCTCACTTGGACCTGAATCCTCGAGCCCATTCCCCTCGGTGCCTGTGTCTGTGCCTGCCGCTGACCCCAGCTCTGGACTCTCCAGTCCCCACTTGCTCTCCAAGAAGGGAGCCCTGCAGCCCAGAGCCTCTCAGCGGCACCGAGGCTCCATCAAGGGCCGGGGGCCACCACCCCCAGACTCCCCTCCGCATGTGAGTAGCAGCCCCCACCCCTGCCAGGTAAGGGGTTCTGTGGAGGGGTGGAAATAGTGTGGGGGCTCTGGGACCCTGGGGGAGCAGAAGAGATGGAAACAGGAAGACAGGGCGAGCTGAGACCAAAGACAGGAAGCAGTGCTGGGAGGGAGTGGGGGCAGGTAGAGGCCAGAAGGGAAGATCCACAACCAGGAGGAAAAGGTAGGGCTAGGATCTGGCAGTTTCGTGGGCTGGGCTCCAAGCCTCCTCCCCCAGGGCTCAGGTCTCAGACTTGTGGTTGGGGTCCCCAGGTCTCCCCAGCGAGGAAAGTCTCAACCGACCCCCTGCCACCTCCCTCAGGTGAGTGAGGGCCCTTGCCTCTTTCTGAGGGGAGCTCTGGGTATTGCTTCCTGAAGGCACATGCATCTTTGTCCTCCCCACCAGGTGGCCATCCCCCCAAGAGTTCTGGCAACATCTGGGACAAAGCTTCATCTCCCTCCCACAAGCGGTGGCCCCGAGGAGGACCTGAGGCTGGGGGGGGGCTCATCCAGTGGATCTGATGGCCTCTGGGTGACCGGTTCTCAGGACCCCCAGCCAGCATGGACCCTGGAGTGGAGGTTTGCAGCAGAGCCTTGGTCTTTCTATGTAGGGCCACAGGCCGACCGGCATCCGATACCTGAACCCCATCCAGTGCTGAGTCAGTGTCTGATCCCAGCAGGGTGAAGGGTTCTCCAGGACTCTGAGTTTCCCTGGGCTCTGGAGGGGCCAGGAGGAGAGCATCATACTGAAGATGGCCTGACGACATGGCTGCTCCACAGATCAGAGCAGGCCTCATAGAGGCACCAAACTTCATCCTTTCCTCCAGGGAAGGAATGAGGGAGGCCACTCGATGCAGGCCTTTCCTGGCGGTGGGAGAACGGTGCAGGTGGGAAGGTCAGAGGACTGAGAAAGTCAGGTTAGTGAGGGTCAGAGCACGTGAGATCAGAGAGCATGAGGGTAGGGAGGTGAGCAAAGTCTGAGACGTCACAAGCAGAGAGAGAAGGGTATTCTGGGCGAATGTCAGTAGGCTGCGGCTGGTCAGGAGAAACTACGAGACTAAACAAGAAAGAGAAGATTTTATTTGTGCTGTGTGTCCACGCATTTTCCACTCAGCAGTCAGGAGTCCCCTATCCTGGGGACCCTGTGCCCATGCCCACCTGGCACCCAGCCTGGTGGCCTCCACTGCTCTGCCACCCACCTTCCTGCTCCATCTCTGGCTCCTCAAAGCCTTGGGACAATCCCAAATGTCCAATCCCTTTATGTGACACCACCATATTCCACCTCTGCACCTCGTCCAGGGTTCCCCAGAGGAGGGGCTCCAGCTTCTGCCCTACAGACCCCCACCCTGCAGGGGCTGCTGGAGCCCCCCTCCTACACGCCCCTACAGGTACCTGCTCACTGTCTTAGGCAGGAGCCAAGGAGGTCTTGGCCATAGGCCCTTGGGGCTTAAGGGTCACAGAGGCCTCAGAGGCTTTCACTACCCCAGCCCACTTGTCAACAAGGCAGAGAGTTCCCGGGACACCCCCTCCAGCCTGAAGGCCATCTAGTCTCCTCACTCTTGCCCCCTGCCCAGATTTCCTGCTGCTCTGACACCTTCTAGGTTCCAGAGCCTTATCCTGCCTCTCTCCTGCAACTAGATGACCCAATAAAATATAGGGCACCCAGTTAAATTTGATTTCAGATAAGCCACACAGAATTTAGTATAAGTACATCTCAAATACTGCATGTCTGAAATTCAAGTTTCACTGGCACCCTGTGTTTTTATTAGCTGATCTGGCCACCTTACTAAGCAGCTCCTTGCTCAGCAGCTACCTAGCCACCTTCCAGAATCTCCCTCCTCCCAGGTGTGAAGCACAGTCTTGGCCTTAGTCAGTGGTTAGACCTTTGGGTGGAATCCAAGGGAGCAGGACCATGAACACCGGCCCCTTCCTAGACACCAGGGGTCAAAGGGCAAGACCTGAGGGCGGCACCTCGTCCTCAGCACCTGTGGCCATTTCTTTGTCCTGTGTCTTCCTGGACCAAGCCCGCGTTCTAAGAGCTCAGGTTGCGTCTGGGGCTGGGGCTGCGGCTGCGGCTGCGGCTCGGGCGTCCCTGCCCCATCTGCCGGCGGAAGTAGTGGATGGCGGAGAAGGTACCAATGTTGGCCAACAAGACTGCAAGAGAAACACAAAGCCTCCCGAGTGCCGGCTCCATTCTGGCCTGGTCACCACCTTCTGCCCACATGGCCTGGCCCTCAAAGGGCAAGAGGAGGCCAGCAGGGCGAGGAGCGGGTCAGCAACGAGAGGAGCAAGGTCACGGGAGAAATCTGTGCTGCCCCATGCACCCCTCATCCCTGCTGGCCCAGCAGGTGAGACTGGACACCACTGGTCTTCCTGGGTACCAGCCCGCTCCTCCCCCAGGGCCCCCAAACCTGTTTTCCAGGCATCTGGGGTATGCAGGTCTAATGTTCTCACAGCCCAGGTGGCAAAGGCCACAAACACCAGGCACATATCATTCTGGCTGAAGGTAAATGAGATGAGAGGACCTCGGGGCTCCCCTAGGAGAGAGAAGCATGCTCTGTGCTCTGGCAGCTCCGCTCAGACTCATCTGTCCCAGAGATGCTGTGAGTCACATCTTCCCGATGACACCTCTGTCCCAAGACCCGGGGTACTGTGTGGCATAGTTGAGTCAAGCTGACTTGAGCGGGTTTCCTCTGGGGTACCATTTCCTGGTTTATCTTCCAAGGAGAATGTGAGATGAAGTCTGTTGCACGTGCCTGACCTGGCAGGCAGCAAGGCCCGAGTGGGAGCTGTCCCAGTGTCTACCATGCTAGAGGCGGTGGGCGGGGGGGGGGGAGGGTTGGGGCAAGGCACTGCTGTCATCTGGGCCTGGATACAGAATGATGGTCAGTGCAGACAAATCCCTGAGTGGCTGTGGTGTCTAGCCTAGTCTGCCCCACCTGGACTATGTCCTGCGACGGCCAGGAGCTAGTCCATCCTTCCCAGTCATCCCTAAGCACCGCCCCCGCCACTGGCTCATGGCTCGGGGTCCTGGCCTGCCCCTCCCCAGCAGCCCTCCTGGCTGAACTCCCTGGACAGTATGTTCCCAGGACCTGGACAGCCCATGGGGCCCACGCGACACGCACCTGCTTGCCTGACTGCCCGACTGCACTGCTCCGCTGTGTCTGGGGTAGGCTCTGGTGGGGTGCCAGGCCCCATGCCCCAGGGGACCAAGCCGGGGGGCTCCGTGGCCTGTAGCTGGAGAAGGGCAGCCAGCTCCAGCATGCCCCCCGACGAGTCCTCCCCGAGGAAGTGTTCATAGGCCTCGGGGATGGAGATGGGCACAGGGTCTCCAGGTGGAAGGGTTGGCACCGGCTCAGCCTGTGGGGGTTGGGCCACAGAGTGGCCCCCCCAGTGCCCAGACCTCTGGGCTTGACGGTCCCGGAAGAAGAATTCACACATGTCTGGCCACTGTACTTCGGCCAGGGCCTGGTCAGCTTCTGCCACCTCCTCAGCATCCTCATCTTCCTCCTCAATAGTGTCACAAAAAAAGAACTCATAGGCCTCTGGGAGGGTCACTGCAAAGCTGCTCCTGGACCTGGGCCCCACTGAAGCAGCGGGGGAAGGGGGAGGCAGGTGTTTGAGGATCCGAGGCTGGGGAGACCGGGGCCCAACTGCCATGGCGTCCCAGCCTCCAGGCCCCCCTCGGCCCCCCACTGCTGTCCTGGGGGGTGAGGGCTGGGCTGTGGCTGGCGAAGGTGGGCCTGAGGTCTCTCCTGAACCTGGCTCCTCAGGGCTGGGCACAGCCATGGAAAATCGCACTTTCTTCTTCTTGGGTGCTTGGACAGGGCCTAGTGGGGGCTCCCCTGAGTGATGTCCAGCGGCACCTGCTGAAGGCTCCTCTCTGGGCTTCTCTCGGTGTCCTCCTGGAGACACAATAGGGCTCAAACATGACTTGGCCATTGGGGCAACCTCCACCTTCACCATGTCAGGCCCCGCCTGGGGAATGGGAGCAGGTGTAGACACACCCACGTCAGATTGGGCCTTGGAAACAAGGTGAGGCAGAACAAGTGTAGATAAATCCACCTCCTGCTTAACCACTGGGCCTAGCATAGGCAGGTCTGTGTCCAGTTTAGACTTGGAGGCAGGTGTAGACAGAGGTGTGTCAGGTTGAAGCTTGGAGGCAGGTGTAGACAAAGCCGCATCTGACTTAGCCATTGAGATATCTGGATGAGTCTCCTGGGCAGATGTGGACACAGTGTGTAGCTCAGCTCCGGGGGTCATGCTGAGTAGGTCTGTACCTTCCTTGGTCGCAGGGACAGGTGTAGACAGATCTGGATCTGTTCCTTGCCTGGTTACCTGCGCAGGGGCTCCTGCAGACTCTGGACACAGTGCATCCTGCCCGGTTCCTGCTGTCTGCTCTGCTGTCCCAGCTGAGAGACCCTTCCCCCTGGACCCAGCCACGTCAAGGCCCTCCTTGGGGAGGGAACCCTGCTGGGTGGGAGCAGAGCCTGGGGTACTCAAGCACCCACCCCCCTTGGCTCCAGCAGCACGCCTCTTCTTTCGTCTAGGGCTGCATGGCGGGGCTCCAGGGCTTCCAGGGGGGCTCTGCGGAGCTATGCTGGAGCCAGGAGACTCAGAGCTCTGAGGAGGCTCACCAGGCGGACTAGGGGCAGGGCCCTGGGGGGCTGGCCCCTGCAGAAGCCTCTGCATCTTGTCTCTGGAAGACACTGGCCCTAGAAGGGACAAGCTCTGGCCTAGGGGGGCAGCGTCAGATCTGAGGGACAGCAAAGCTTCTGACCGTGCAGACGTGCTAGGCATCTGCTGATCGGCCCCCAGGGCCAAGACAGGCTCACGCCAAGACCTGCTGACCAGCGACCGGGTAGCTGCCTTGTCCTCCTCCTTGAAGCCAGGCCAGCCCCTCCCCCTGGAAGCTGGCTGCCCCTCGAGAAGGGGTGGAGGCCCAGGAGGACTGCTGCCACTGCTGTCCCCTTGGTCAATGTCACTGGACAAGAGCTCATCCCCAGAGGCCAGGCTGGCCTGCAGGAGGCCACACTCCTCCGTTGCGGCCGAAAACTCAGCCCAGTCCTGGTCACTCAGCTGGATGCTGTACTGGAAGTTTTCCATTTCAGGTCAGCAGAGGACTTGAGCAGCAGAGCTTGAGGCCAGGCGGGGTCTTCGTGGACCCAGGTCCCGGGCACCGGCCAGCATATAATCGCTGGGGTGCCCCCCACCTCCTTGGCTCGGGGGCCGGCACTCCATCTGCTTCCTGAAAGAAAGCAAAACGGGGAAACCTGAAGGAAGCTGAGTGGCTGTCAGAACCGACCCTTCCTCCAAGTTAGAAAACCTGTAACTCCCACTTATCCTATTTCCAAACTGACCCCAAATAATAAACTTGTAATGATACATTGTTACATTCCTAGAATCAAATATGGCTTAGATTAATGACGTACACTAAAAAATAGGGGTTCCTCCTGTTTGAAATTTTGTCCCCAGAAGCGGTTTTCTTCACATCTTTGAGCCTTTTCTGTTCCACTGGGTCAGCTCCGCCTTCTCCAACCTTCCTCCAGAATTGCAGGCACCAGGGTAAACTTTATACAGCAAAGCCCATTTCAAGGGTCACTCACTGGGAGTCAGCTCCCCTGGGCGATGGTCAGCCCTGGTCTGTCCCAGCACGCCTCAGGTGGCAGCAGGTCATGGAGGAGGGGCCGCAGTGTCCAGCAGGTGACCAGCCTTTGGTGATGACCTTCCACCAGCCTTGGCTGGGACAGGCTTCTGGGCTTCCACTGAGATCATCAAGGTCACACTAGTGCTGGCTAGAGCCCGCTCAGGGGTCAGCAGGGAGTGCCTGGCTCTGCCCCCTGCCTAGGCAGGAAGTCACAGAACAGAAATGAGCCTCCTAACTCCCGGTGGACCACTAGGACCATCCTCAAGGTCTCTGCCCCTCACCCAGGCCTGCCCGGCTGGCAGAGCTCCCTACTTCTGCCTCATCTCAGTGAACAGAGGTGACCCTAACTGCTTGAGAGCCCCTAGTGTCTTGACCTCCTATGGGAAGAGCTCTTTGGCCTTTGGTCAGCTACCACTACACCCAGGGAGGTGGGAGGTCACTCTGGCCAGGCCAGTGCTGAGATGAAAATGCCTTGAGACCAGAGCACTGTGCCTTCCTGACCCCTGAAGTTTGCCCTCCTCACTGGCCCTTGGGGAAGTCCCTCTGTCTGACTTTGGGACTCCTTAGGGTGGGAATGAGGGACTAACAGTGTCATACCTGGGACCCTGTGGCCAGCCAGGGCAATGGAGCTGGGTGTCCGAGCTGCCTGTCCCAGAGCAGCATGGTGCTGGGCTCACCACGCAGGCCCCACCCCCACTGCCAAAAATACCCCGTCCCTGTGGTCACATGTCTCCTGCCAGTGGTCAGGGTCCAGGACACAAATAGATGGCATTTGGGGAGCCTCCAGCTCTGTGAGGGACGCCATCCTGATCAGGTCAGATGCTGGCCAGAGAATGCTGACCTGCAATCAGTCCTGCACGGGCCTCCTTTTCCCAAGCTGAAGGCCACTGTGCACTTCATCTCTTGGCCCAGGCTGATCTTTCCTCTTAAAGTGGCCCCACTCGCTGCAAAACCTCAGGCCCTGTGCTAGCAGCTCCACCTTCCATCCCCCCATCAACCGATGTCCTTCCGGGTCTTAGGGCTTTACCTTGTTACCTGTGTGGAATATAAAGCGTTGCAGAGTGTTAAGTGGGAAATCACCATTCCAGAATGTTCCTAGAGGTCCTTTGGAGGTGGGCTGCTGCTGACCGGGGGTGGAATAGGGGAGCAAGGCTTGTACCTCTCTCCTCTGGCCTCAAAATGCTCACTGGCCCCTTCCCCGGCAGCACCGCTGAACCTGCCAGTGGGGCTCAAGGGACAAGTGGGGTCACTGAGGGCTCTTGGTGGCAGGAACCCCAAGGAGTATGGGCCTTGGGCCTCTAGAGAGGGTTGGGAGGGTTCAGGGGTGGAAAATGGGTTACACCCCACCAGCACCTCTCCTGACCTAGGCTCCTGTAGACGGGCCCAAGAGGCAGGGGGCAGCACAAAGTCTGATCCTCCAAGAAAAGGAGCCTGGCGCTGCCACCCCCAGCTGAACCAGTCACCAAGAGTAGGCAGGCAGGGATGACGGGGCCTCAGAAATGGGCCTCCAGAATAACACCTCCTATTCCAGGCCCTCATGAGCACTTTTCCTAAAACTTGTCCATCCTGAGAGGGGGCACAAAGAGGACTCTTTTTTTTCACAGTTGAGCTCGGTGGGGCACGGAGAGGGTGAATGACTTGCACACGACCACACAGCTGGCAAATGGCAGAGCTGGGTCCCAAAGCCCCTACTCGTGGCCCTTCTCCAGGCCATCCTGATCTTGGAGGGCTGACATCGCCCATCCCCATGCCGGTCCCTGTGGCGCCCACGCCTGCGGCTTCCAGGCTAGGGGACGGGAAGAGGGAGGCGGGGAGCCAGACAGCAAGCATCTAAACAAACAGGTCAACGAGATCATTTCTGACAGCAACATAATGTAAGAAGGGGATATTGTGGCGAGAAGGGGTGCCCTGGATGGGCCGGAGACTCTTCTCCGAGAACAGGGCCTTGGAGGGCCTGAGGGGGTGGGAGACAACAAGGGCCGAGGCTGTGAGGGTGATGATGGCGGAAGCAGCTTCACAAAGGATGAGAGAGGCTGGGGCGCTTAGATTCCCGGTAAACCAGTCAGCATATCACACATGCAGGAAGGGCACAAATGGGGAGCACAGCATGTAGCTGCTGCTGGACCCCGCCTGCGGGTGTCTGCCACCTGGCCACCGTGCACAAGCCAGCCTGGCCTGTAGTGAGCTTTATACAAATGGAACTGGACCCTAAGAAACTTTCTGTTCTAGTCTCCTTATTGTGTTCTCCTGTGAGTCTCCGGTACTGCCTACACCAAACGTTCACTTCTGTGTCTCTGACACCAGCTGGGTGTCCTACAGTTTCACTCAAGTCTGACACCCTTTACCTGGAGACACAGGTGAGTGCTCAGTCCCAAAGGACTGCCCCCCTTCAGATGCCAGTCACAAGCAGCAGGTCCTCAGGGTACCGGCAACTTCTGTCCAACTTGGCTACAAACCAGAGTTTCCCATGACCCCTCCATCTTGGATTCGCTTAATTTACCAGAGTGGCTCACAGAGGTCAGGGAAACGCTTACTTACGTTTACCAGTTTATTGTAAGAGGGTGTGATAAAGGGTACAGATGAACAGCCAGATAGGGGAGATGGATAGGGTGAGGTATGTGGGAAGGGCATGGAGCTTCCATACCCTGTGCAGGGTGACACTCTCCCTGCACCTCCACGTGTTCACCAACCTGGAAGCTCTCTGAACCCCATACTACTGGGATTTTATGGAGGCTTCCTCACATAGGCATGAGGGACCATTAACTCCACTCCCAGCCCCTCTCTCCTCTCTGGAAGATGGGGGGCTGGGGTTGAAAATTGCAAGCTTCTAATCATGGCTGGTCTTCCTGATGACCATCCCCAACCAAAAGCCTCCCCGGAGTTGCCTCATTAGAACAAAAGATGGTCCTGGTACTCTTATCACTTAGGAATTTACAAGGGTTTCAATAGCTCTGTGCCAGGAACAGGGCAGAAACCAATATGTGTATTTTCTATGATCTCATAGTCGGCCTCCTTTGAGCCTCAGCATGCTTTGGAGTCGGACACCTCAGGGGCTGTGCTGGTCAGCATTACCACCAAGAGTGGTCCCACGTGTGAATGTATACATCCCTGCATCATTTTTCTGTGGATGGAAATTTGGGTTGTTCCACTTTGCAGCCATTATAAGTAATGATGCTGTGAACATGCCAGAACATTTCTTTTGGAAAACCCGTGTCCTTGGTTTTGGAGAGGTCAGTGGGTGTGCTTGTTCAGCAGTTTTCCTGAGCAGCCGTGCACTCGCTCTGACAGCAGGACGCACTCAGGTCGTCTGCACATCCTCATCGACGGTCATTGTCACCTCGAGTTCTGGAGGCTCCACAGTGGTGCCACACTGAGGTTTTAATTCACGTTTCCTTTGGTGTTGGCCACTGGCATTTCTTTTTCTGTGAAGGTGTGTGTCTTCTTGATGCTTCTGCCGCTTTTATGTGCCTTTTCCTTATTGATTTATAGGGCTTGTGCATTCTGGATAAGAATTATTTATTGATGTCTGTGCGATTAATATCTTCTCCCTCAGTTTTGTCTTGTCACTCTCTTCACAGTGCCTTTTGATAAACAAATTTTATTTTTATTATTAAAGCTTTAATTTATTTATTTGACAGAGCAAGAGAGCACAAGCAGGGGGAGCAGCAGAGGGAGAGGGAGAAGCAGACTCCCTGCTGAGCAGGGAGCCCAACACGGGGCTCGATCCCAGGACCCTGGGCTCATGACCCGAGCTGAAGGCAGACGCTTAACCATCTGAGCCACCCAAGTGCCCCCGATAAACAGAAATTTAAAAAATTTTAATATAGTCCAGGTTATCAACAACTTCCTTTACATTATCATCTTTTCTGTTCTTTTTAAAAAAGATTTATTTCATTTATTTTTAAAGATTGATTTATTTACTTGAGAGAGTGAGAGAGCACGTGCGAGTCAGGGGAGAGGCAGAGGGAGAGAATCTCAAGCAGATTATGCGCTGAGCGCGGAGCCTGATGCAGGGCTCCATCTCACCACCCTGAGATCACGACCTGAGCCGAAATCAAGAGTCAGAGGCTCAACCAACTACACCATCCCAGCGCCCCTCACCTTTTCTGTTCTTTTAAAGAATTCTTTGCCTGCCCCAAAGTCATAAAGATTTTGTAAAGATATCCTTGCACATTTGTTTAAAGCTTTGTGGTTTTACCTTTCATATTGGATCTGCAACCCACCGGTGTTGATTTTCGTGGATGGTGGGTGATGGGGGTCCCGTCATACTTTTTGTTTCCATGTGGACACCTAGTTGGCCCAGTGCCACGTCAAGGCTCGGGGGCACGCGTGGTGGGTCTCTCTGTCTACTGAGACACAGCAGCACAGTCCCACGTGGGGTTGGAGCCCTGCAAGGTGAGAAGTTCGGAGGGTTTGGGGCAAGAGCTTTTCAACAGTTGCCCAGGCTGCCCTGGGAGAA